GCCAGAGAGTCCTTAGAGTGGCTTAAAAGGCCTCACATGATCTGGCCCTTGTTATTTCTCTAACCTCATCTCCTTTCATTTTTGCCCTTGTTCATTTCCTCCACTCACATTGGCCTTCTTGCTATTCCTCAGACCTGCCAAGCATGTTCCTACCTCAGTTTTTGCCCTTAGCTTTTCCTCTGCCTAGAGCATTCTTCCTCCAGATATTTGCATAGCTAGCTCCTTGGCTTTCTTCAGATCTTTGCCCAAATGTCATCTTTTTAATGAGGCTTTTCCTGTCTACTCTTTTTTGTTTTGTTTTGTTTTTTCGGTATGCGGGCCTCTCACTGCTGTGGCCCTTCCCATTTTGGAGCACAGGCTCCGGACGCGCAGGCTCAGCGGCCATGGCTCACGGGCCCAGCCGCTCCGCGGCATGTGGGATCTGCCCGGACCGGGGCACGAACCCGTGTCCCCTGCATCAGCAGGCGGACTCTCAACCACTGCGCCACCAGGGAAGCCCCCTGTCTACTCTTTTAAAAATTAAAAGGTCCTCTGCTTGCACCTCCTATCTTACTTTCGCTTTGTTTTTTCCACAGTTATCAGAATCTGACTTTTTTTTTTTTCAAGAAAGAAATGGGAAATTTTATTCAAGCCAATCTGAAAATTATAACTAGGGAGATAGTCTTTCAGAAAGCTCTGAGGACTGTTCTGCCCATTAGAGGTCTAAGCACAGTTATATAAGTTTTTGAGACAAAGGGTTATACATCAAAGGGTTAAACATCAAGGTGGCATTGACAGTTTACATAGTTCAACAAAGTGAGTAGTGGGTCATCATAACCCCTTACATGATAACGGAGGGAATGCTATCTCCTAAGGAGTTTCCTTGCTGGTGCCAGCAGGAAATTGATGTGTGTGTGTGTGTGTGTGTGTGTGTGTGTGTGTAGACGTTCCTGTGTCTTCTTAGGGAATCTAGTTAATGTATAATGCAGATGCACAATGCACACTAAGGAGAAGGTATAGTGGCTCAAACAGCAGAGAAAATTTCACGTTAAATTTCTTTTCCTGCCTTAAAATAATTTTGTTTCATCAGCAGCCTCATTGAGGAGGTAATATTTGAGTAGACTCTAAGGTGGTAAGGGACTTAGCCTTATGGATATGGTGGAAATAGTGTTGCAGGCAGTAGGAGCAGCCAGTGAAAAATTCTAAGGAGGAGAGCTTGCCTGGTATGTTTGGAGAACAGCATGGGGACACTGAGGGTAAGAGGTGAGATTAGAACTGTAAACTAGTATGTTTGTTGGTGTGTGGGAGGGCTTTTGGTCACAGAATTAACCTTATTCATGAAATAAAAGCTATACATTTTCTATTTACACTATAACTATGTATTATAAAGTCAAGGAAGTCAGTGTTGTTCTTTCTTGGACTTTATATTATGAATATCAGGATGAAAAGTGGTTTGAAGCTCTAATTTTTTAACTCAATCAACTGTGCAGAAATCGCTTATGAACTGTATGTTAATGATTTGAATCATGTGCCTGAGGTCCCTTTGCCAGAGACTTTTTAATTTAATTGGTAGTGGTGAGGGTGGGAAGGGAGGGGGTTGTGCCTGGGCATTGAGTTTTTTAAGCACTCCCAGGTGGTTCTATATGCACTGCTCTGGTACCTGAATATATAGAAAAAGAGACAGCTTTTCTCATTCCGGCTCCAAAGTAGTCTGCTCAGTATGCTTATCATCCTTGCTGCTTCAGCTCACTGCAGTGTCTCATAACTCCCTGGAACTCAACAACCACAAATCCCCTCCACAGAAATCCTGGGACCTCTCCTAGCCATGCCATTGGAGGGGAAAGGTAGGACAGGTAAGAGTTCTCCTTTACTGCCCCATTCATAAGTTCCCCACAACACCAAAAAACAAGACTGGGTGTGGGCACCAGATGACTGAAAAGTTTGTGTTACAGAATGACAGTGTAAGAGGAGGGGTAAGAGAAGAGGGGAGCAAAATGTTGGCATCAATTGCCTAATAAAAAATTTTAAGAACAAGGCTGCCTAATATTCAGTTTCAAATTTTGGCATTGTTGTGGTAGAAAATACCCTGTCTCCCCCACTCATCTGTTTCATTTATGTGTCTGGCACATTTTTGGCACACAACAAATATTTGTTATATAAATGAATGAATGAATTCAAGTGGGCTGAACACAAAAAGCAACAAGCCTCCAACCCATCCTTTCCTGATCCCTCCAATCTTGTTCCCCAGTGGCAGTCGCATTTACCTCACTGTTACCCTACTAGCTCTAAATTATATATCTATGCTGTTCATTCTAGATGTATCAGTGTTAGATCTTGCATACTCACTTACTGCTAAGATAGGTAAGGATTTTACTAAATTAACCACTCCAAATTTTCCCGACCTACAATACCTAATAAATTATATCACTATTGTTAGCTTTTCCATTGCTTACATTTGTGAGGTTAAACAATATACTTAAATTTGTATTTCTTATTTCAACTGTAAGGAGTACCTCTTCACTTTGAATCTGACTTATTATATATTTAACTTATTTCTTAATTCTCTGTGTTCTACCCCCCAGTTAAGCTCCATGAAGGAAGAGATTTTTATCTATTTTGTTTACTCTCAAATCCCCAGTGCCTTTTATTTATTTATTTATTTTAAAAATATTTATTTATTTTTGGCTCCATTGGGTCTTTATTGCTGCACACAGGCTTTCTCTAGTTGTGGTGAGCGGGGGCTACTCTTTGTTGCGGTGCACCGGCTTCTCTTTGCGGTGGCTTCTCTTGTTGCGGAACACGGGCTCTAGGCACGTGGGCTCAGTAGCTGTGGCTCGTGGGCTGTAGAGTGCAGGCTCAGTAATTGTGGCGCACGGGCTTAGTTGCTCTGCGGCATGTGGGATCTTCCCGGACCAGAGTTCGAACCCCTGTCCCCTGCACTGGCAGGTGGATTCTTAACCACTCTGCCACCAGGAAAGCCCGCCCTGCCTAGTGCCTTTTAAATTATAGGTAATCAGTTAAAATTTATTGAATGAATGAATGAATAAAATGGTCAAGGCCTTGTGTAATCAGTCCTCTCTTTGTCCTTCCAGAGTTATCTTCTGCTCCCCTGGCTCTCTTGCTACATGCCAGATGCTGATCTTTTTCACTTCCACTTTATACCATGCTCCCTCCTGCCTCAGAACCTTTATATGTTTTATTCCCTCTACTTGGAATACGCTTTATTTCCTGACCCCTTCTTTTCCTTGCCTAGTTAACTTCTATTACTCATCCTTTAGATATCAGCTCAAAAGTCCCTATTTCAAAGAAGATCTGGATTAAGAACCCCTGTATTCACTCTTCACCAACTAAACTGAATATTTCAGAAAGGCAAAAACCTTGAGTATACTGCTTGCCAGTGTATGTGTCGGAATAGTGAATCCTCAGTAAGTACTTATTGAATGTTCCCTTCTGCATTAATATTCTGCCTTGAGGCAGTGGCAGGTCATTCCTATATGATTAGAAATGGCAGCCTCTCAGGAAACTTCATATTCTTAAATGAAACATGATTGGTAGTAAGTGAGAAACAGCTCAGCATCTTTGGTCAAATATGGGTTAAATACGAGCTTTATGTTGAGAAAGTCAGTGTGTTGGCATTTTGTGAGAAGATAGGAATCCAGATAAGATCTGGCTCAAGAAATTCTGGTTTAGGGTCAGTGCAGAAGCATGTGCATATTGATTCTTGTTGATGTGTAGGGCATGTAAATAACCCAGTACATTTTGTTACTTTAATATTTAATATCAAAAAATGGTAGAAGACTGGCTAATAACTCCTTTGTTAGCCAGTAGTTAACTTTTTCAATAGTTTCACTTTTGAAAAAGTAAGGCTGGGTAAAGTTAGCAATTTTTTATTTTGTAGGATTGTGTTAAGAATTAACATATACGAAAGTTCTTTAAAGTGCATGTGTAATTTATTGTTATTATTACTATTATCATCGTTATTAGTTGTGACATTGGGCAAATAAATTAGTTTCTCTTTATATTTACTCTTGTAAAAAGTGGGAATAAGGACTTCCCTGGTGGTCCGGCAGTTAAGACTCCACACTCCCAACACAGGGGGCCCAGATTCGATCCCTGGTCAGGGAACTAGATCCCACATGCTGCAATTAAGAGCCCGCATACTGCAACTAAAAGATCCCGCACGATGCAACTAAAGATCCCGCACGCAGCAATGAAGATCCCGCTTGCCATAACTAAGACCCAGTGCAGCCAAATAAATAAATATGAAAAAAAAAAAGTGGGAATGAAAATAGTATTGACCCTAATGGGTTATCATGAAAATTAGTAACGCATGCACTCAAAGAGAAGAGCTTGGTATCCAGTAAACCCTTGGAAAATGGTCACTGTTATTTTAACTATTATTATTTTCAATCTTTTCTTTTGAGTTTAAGAACTTTCCTTTCTAAATCATTATAGAGAATTTGAGTTCTTTAATTAGAATTCAGGGTCCAGTCTCCTATGTGACTTTTGGCACTTTCATTAAGCTCTTGGCATGATGAATGGCAGTGGTGGCAGCTGCTGCTGCTACTATTTCTAAAGGTCCACCTCATTTCCTTACCTTACTTGTATATTGGTTAGTGAAATAGGAATATCCACTTCTGTGATATTGTCTGTAGTGAAGTGAACAAAATGTTGTAGGGGATGCCTCAAAGCCTTGCACAGTTCCTGAAAAATAGTGGATACTAAGTATTCATAAATTTGAAAGACAGTAAGAACTAGAGCTTGATTGTGTCTGGTTATAAGATATTTAAATGTATACCAAAAATACTGTAGACTTTGTGTAAGAGAGCTATGGACAAGGGAGATCAAAACAATAATAACAAAACCACATTGAAAAACACGGATTAGAGTAGAGCCTATCATTGTGGTTCTGTGTTTCTTAGTGCTGCTATTACATTCTTAATGCTCTGTATATTTGCAAGAACAAGTCAGGGGTACAGTAACTAACACTAAAATAAATGTCAATATATATTCTCTTTCAGATTTACCAAAAATTTATCTCCTGACAAGATAAATCTAAGTACCCTTAAAGGAGAAGGTGAACTGAAGAATTTGGAGTTGGATGAAGAGGTGCTCCAGAATATGTTGGATTTGCCAACATGGCTTGCTATCAACAAAGTTTTTTGTAATAAAGCATCTATTAGGGTGAGACTTTGATATCTGTGCAAGGCATTTTCTGTTTTCATTTTGTTTATTTCATCCCTATCTTTTAAAATAAATATTTTGTTTTCGGTAATTCTGAAAAGAAGCATTTTTATTAACATAATTTTAAAAGACAGATACCTTGTAAATAATTGCATGAATGTGTGCCTTTTGAATTTAATTGAATGCTAATATATGTTTATTAATTTATAGGTTTTAAGTTTTATTAAAATTTAATATTAATATTTAAATAAAATTGTTGATGCTTTATTAATAAAATAATTTGGTACATATTTAAAATTTTTTTCACACAATTTATTGTCAAAAGGGACAATTTAAATTTGTAGTTAGTAAACACTACTTCAAATGAAGACATAAGGACTGATAAGTTATCTTATTCTGGACATTATACTTTTATTTGAAATTCTGTCTCTTTTCCTCGTTTGTTTTTTATTTTGAGGTTTTTAAAGTTTTCTTTTAATACTAGTTCTGCTTATTAAAACTTAAGCTTTCTTATTATCTTTGGCTCTAATCATACATCATATCATTTCCTTCTCTTAAAGATTAGGCTTAGTTTGGGAGCCTACTCAGTAGAAATACTGCACGCTAACTTTTCATAAAATTAAAATTGGGCTCCAAAGAAAAGATTGTAGAAAAGTTGCTGTATCCTTTGATGGTAACCTTTAATTTTTGTTCTATCCTCCATAAGCCCAAATGTCTAAAAACATGACATTTTTAGTGCAGGATATATTTGAACATTATTGATTTGATGTTACTTGTACTTAACATTAATGGTCTCACTTTTGTATTTGTCTTGCATACCTACAAGGAGATGGGTTGGAATTCTAGAATTTAAAAAATTGTTAAATAAACAAAACACTGATTATGCTTTGCTAGGAATTCTTCAGCTACAAAATTAAAATGTGTTTTCAGAACTGGGGAAAAAAGATATTAAGAGAACCTGAAATTTTTATTTAAAAAGATGACCAAGAAAATAAGGCTAGTAGTCTTTTTTAATATAAAATAGGTGCAGCTGATTTCAAGAGTATGAATGAATTGCTCAGTTTATTATTTTTCAATTTAAGAAAAAAGTCATCTGATATAATTTGGTATGTCTTTCACTATGTTAAGAGAGTATCTGTGTTGATTACTGTTTTATATTATTTTTTTAATGATTCATTTTAAAGAAAGAAAAATTTTCTTTTGTAGATACCATGGACAAAACTGAAAACACATCCCATCTGTTTGGTAAGTTCTGAATTGCTTCAGAAATAAACTCTTATATATGCATATAATCTAACAAATCTAATATTAAACAAAATATTAATATTTTGTTTCATAGAAACATAATCTCATGGCTTCTCTGCTAGTTATCTTTCATTCTATTTTGATGGTTCTTAGTTTTATCAGTTCTTAAATGAGAAGTTTGAACTTTAAAATGAGAGGGTCTTTAAAGTTTTTCAGGTCTAGAATATTATATTGTAAGTTGGTATATTTTATTGCATTTTTTAACTTTTTATTGATATATTATACTTTATTTATGAGATTCTTCTTTTAATAAAGTTTGGTCCAGACTTTCTGTGTTTCTGCTTTTACTGATCTAATATAATACGTTCTTTAATATACTTTACTTTTTAAGGAAAACTGATCAGTTGGTCATTTATTGATTCATTCATACCACAAATATTTACTGAGCACCTCCCCTCTGCCCTGAGGGAGCATATTTTTACAAGGTGACTGACAACGAACAAGTAAACAAAACAAGACAGTTTCAGATAATAAGTACAATATTAAATAGAGAATGAAGAATGACTGGAGATGTGTTAGTGATGACTACTAAGGACATTTGATCTTCCTTCAAGAAAAAACTTGGACTGAGAAAGAAACTTTTTTACTATGAGAGTATTTACTTTTTCATATTTCTTGCATTTTTCTTAGTTACACATCTTAAATCTCAGGTTTTAGATTGGTTCTATTTATTTTAATTAGCCCAGGTTTTAATTAAAGCTCAGGTTTAAGCTTTTAGAGGTGGTTTAATCCTATTTATTAATAAATAATCTAATTTATCAATTAATAATGTAGTACACTCTGGGATTAGCGATTATATGTCTGTAAAACTTGATGATGTCATCAGTATATGGTTACTTCTTATAGTTTTTTTCTCCTGTACTCCTGTAATAAGCTTTTCCACCAGATAATAAGTGCCTTGAGAAAGGACTAAGCACTTTTTTTTTAGTATTTCTCTTTTTAGACCTCTAGAGAAACATTTAAAATAACTCTGCTTACTTACTGTTTTCTTTGCTCCTAAAGAAATGAAAGAGAAAATAGTCTTAAATAATATCTACGTAATATACATAAAATAAAATATCTAATGTTTACATTTTTAATATATTTTTATTAGTCCTTGGATAAAGTAATAATGGAAATGAGTACATGTGAAGAACCACGAACCCCAAATGGCCCATCACCAATTGCAACTGCTTCAGGACAAAGGTAAGCTATTTTCCATTAATCTGTATGACTGGCAAAGGGAATTTTTTTTTCTGTTATCTGCAGTAATGGGACATAAAGTAAAATTTCCTAAGTTCAGTTTCTATTTTAGTTACTTCTCCCATCAAACATTTTACAGTTTTAGTAAATACATTGCAAAAGTAGCAGAATTGATTTTTAGCCTCTTTTATTCATCTTGTTTTCCTTGATATTAAATACTAATGATCAGTCAAATGCAGAGCAGTAGCAGAAAATAAAAGAAGAGCTTAGGCATTCTAAATCAGATAGTCTCTTACTTGGTTTCTCTGTATAACATTTGTTCTATGCATCAGTGGAATTTTTATGACTCTTAAGAGTTAAGTTGATGCCTTAAAAAATTATAGACCTTTCGGATTACTCTAAAATTCATTAAATATAGAATGCTCACACTTTACACAGATTGAATTTTGATAGATAAAAATCAGATGTTAATAAAGTAGGAGCATGGGGAGCGTTTCACAAAGCTGCCTTGAGAAGTTAGAATAGTTCTTAAAAAATAGATCTTCAAAAACTTGCCTATTCATCTTTGCATTCAGTAAATTTGGATCTTGTATATCATTTCCTCAAAACAGGTTTTCTGTACTATTTTTGGATGGTGCAGCTATTCACGTAAAAAGTTTACATTGATTTTAATGTGATTAGTGCCTCCTCAAGTTGTGCAACATGGCAGCCCTGAACATTTACAGTATTCTGGGTGCTGTATAAAACCAGTGATAAACTCTTCTTGAGAATGAACATACACATACAGATACACACACATACTCTGTTTCTTGCACTCTCATATTTTCCTCCTCTTTCACCAAGGTTGAGCCACCATTATTAATGCATTCTGTGAGAATACCTGCAGTCTGATCAGTGGCTTTTCGTGTGGGAATCAAATGGTGATCCATCCACTGCTGAGAGTTGACTGAAGGCCAGATTTTTCAGATATACAGTTTATATTTGGACTATATGTAATAGTGATGGGGAAAAGAGCTTTCACATTAACTTCTTTGTAGTTTACGTATTTTCCAGCAATTTGAGATTTTAAAGTTTAGATTATGATTTCAGGTTAGATAGAGTAGGTTGGAGCAGTTGATCTTAAAATTGGCTAGACTCAGAAAATTGGAGAAAAAGTTGAGATGTTTATAAGACTATTAAAAGGGCAAAAGAAGATCAGGAAAGTTGCTATAAACAAATGATTTATTTTAATTAGGTGTGGCAGAAATTAGGTATTTTCTTATTGTATGCTAAGTGTAGTTGATACTGTTCTTCCCAATTCATGTTTTTGTAGTGTCAACAAGCTTTATAATTTTGGCTTTGTAATCATATGATGGTAATCCTTATATTGTATGGTAGTATCTTTATTTCTATGTTTTCCAGACTTGCCTAATTGTAGCAATCATTTAGGGTGCTTATGAAATTCACAGAGTTTTTTAGGCTCCTCCTTTAAAATTAGGATTCATTAGGTCTAGAATGGTTATCAAGAATATGAATATGTATTTTCAACAATTCTTTATAGTCATGCAATTTAAGGAAACACTGATCTATTTGATTTTATTTCTAGCTAAGAGATTAAAATAGAGGGAAATTAACGATTAATAGGGTGACCCTTCCTTCTGTGCAGAACCTGTAGGCTAACAATGCTCCCACAGATTGATGGTCTACGAAACTTTGTAAATTCAGAAATTTGATTTTATCACTTCACATGAAGGAGATAAACATCTACGTGAAGATTAACCAAACTCAGAAGAGACTTATTTGTAAACTGAAATTTCGTTTATAATGGATGACATAAACCAGAAACATGTAGACATTAGTCATTGAGTCTGCCTTCACCCTTCTGATGGTAAATTGTCCAGTACAATTGTAGCACTTTTTAATGTGCATGGATTAGATTAGATGGATTTGGATATTCCAAAGGGTATTCCCAGATAATTATTATAGAAATATTCTTCCAACTCCAGGAATATTTCTGTCTAAGTGACCAGTATTTGTCCTTAGGATCACAGCAACTCCTCCCTAGGATGCTGATGAGTTCTTCCTCTTCAGTTCTCAATTTTCTAAACCCCAGGTAGACAACCACCTTTTTTTTTATAACAAAATTACCTCAGTCAAGCCAAGGACCGTATAAATTACTACACATACACCATTTCACTTAAGGACCACAGCAACCTTTTGAAATAGGTATGATTCTCATTTTACAAATGATGAAACTGAGACTCAGAGACTTTCAGTAGTATTAATAATAATATACTACTATTTATAATACTATAAATAACAGTTATATCTTTTTCAGTATTTTGAGTCCAGAGATGGGCTATGTGGTTCATATGCATTATTTCATGCAATCTACACATAACCTACAAAGTGTATCCTGATTTAAAAGATGTCATCTAAATTTTAGAAAAGAGTAATTTTATTTATTCATTAAGACAGTAAATCAAGAAGCATAGCAGCAGGTATAGAGGAGCAGTGTGCATGATCATTAAAAATGATGGCCTCACTTTTATGTGTGTTGGCTTTGAAATGTGTGAGAGGCAGCCAGGTAGAACTGTCTGGTGGACATTTGAATTTTGCAGTCTGAAGTTACAACAGGAGATCTGGATAGTGATATAGATTTAGGAATAATGGTCATAATTGAAGTAAGGTGCCAATTTGGCAAACTTTCACCACCCCCCTGCCAAAATATACTAATAGTCTATATTCAAGTCATACTGTACTTACCATTCTTGAAATGTGACCTTTACTTTATTTTTCTCCATGTCTTTGCTCATGCTTTTCCCTATTCTAAGATTTCCCTTCCTTTTCATCCCTCCTTGAGGAAAGTTCATCTTTCTTTCCTGGATATATTTCTCATTAACTATAAACAGTTTCTTCCTCTACCAAGTGTACTGATGATTCCTTTTTGAAAACACTTAATTACAGACTGCCTCATATTTCAGTTGCTAGGATATGTGTTTTTTTTTCCTTCCCAAGTAACTTGCAAACCCTGTAACGCCACAACTCTACTTTGTTTTTCTTTATGTCCTAGCATCGTCCCCATCGTAGATGCTCAATACTTGCTGAATTGAATTAGAGAATGTGAACTTTTTCTGACTTTATTTCTAAATTATGAGATTATATTCCACTTGGCCTCTACAACCTTCTTTGTGTCAAGAATTTAGCCCTCTTACTTACTAACATTGATGCCAGTTGTCTGCACTAATGCTTTTTGAGACTAGGCAACTTTGGAAGGTGATTTTAATAATTTAGAGAGTAACTTCCAATTTTAAAAACCTTTTGTCATTTTGAGAAGAACATTTTTTTTGTAACTTACATGTAACCAGACTAGATTATCGTTTTAACAAAAATGTGTTTTGTTAAACAAAAATGAATACTATTATGGCAGTTTGTGTACTTGTGTGAGAATATTAACAAAACTTTTTCACTTCTAATGATTTTATTTTGGTTTTAGTGCATTATATTTTGTTCTGCTTTGTTTTCCCAGTGAATACGGCTTTGCTGAAAAAGTAGTTGAGGGAATTACTGTTTCTGTAAATTCCATTGTCATCCGCATTGGAGCAAAAGCCTTCAATGCATCCTTTGAACTTTCCCAGCTACGGATCTATAGTGTAAATGCGAACTGGGAACATGGAGATTTAAGATTTGCTCGTATTCAGGATCCACAGAGAGGAGAGGTAAAGATTTTTTCCTTTTCTTTCTTTGTTTAAAAAATGTTTTAGTCATTGATTAATATAAAAGTACATTTACAGTGGTGTGTTAGTTTCTGCTTTACAACAAAGTAAATCAGCTATACATATACATATATCCCCATATCTCCTCCCTCTTGGGTCTCCCTCCCACCCTCCCTATCCCACCCCTCTAGGTGGTCACAAAGCACCGAGCTGATCTCCCTGTGCTATGCGGCTGCTTCCCACTAGCTATCTATTTTACATTGGGTAGTATATATAAGTCCATACCACTCTCTCCAATAAAGATGTTAAAAAAAATTTTTTTTAATAAATAAATTAAAAAAAAGTATATTTAAAATAATTACTTTTTATGGTTGCTTATATTCACATACTACTAGATTTACTTTTGCCCTTTAACTATACTTTTCTCTGTACTACTTTTAATCATTTAATTATATAATGTGCATATTTTAATGTTTTTACTGTAATATTTCAACTTACAGAGTTAATGAGTCCTATTTTAACTTCTTAGCTTCTCAGAATTGAATTTTAAATATACATAACTAAAATATGTTTTTAAAATTCTTCTTGGTTACATAATTCAAATGTTCTTTGTGCTTTATATTAAAATTAAATTACTTAGAATAAAACTGTTAACAGCTTTACAGATGATGAATATAATTATGAAGATGTGTTACTGAATTTGGAATTCTACAATTAAAAAAAATCAAAGCATAGTGAATAGATCTAGAATGTCATATGAAAATTAGTGAAGAAATACATTTTTATAATAATTTTGTTTTTACAAATTTACATTTTTCTTATTCTATTTTGTGTAAGTGAAGCTAATCTCTATATTCTCTTTAGGTTTTGACCTTTAAGGAAATAAATTGGCAGATGATTCGAATAGAGGCAGATGCTACCCAAAGCTCACATCTTGAAATTATGTGTGCTCCTGTTCGATTAATAACCAACCAATCAAAAATCAGAGTCACACTTAAAAGAAGAGTAAGTCAACAGGGTTACCCTTATGATTTATGCGATAGCTATTAGAATTGATGGGAAATTTTAAATTATTTTTTAGCTGAAATATTGGCATATTAAAACAGTGTAAAATAAAAGGAAATATAGTGCCTCAAGCAATATTTGAAGAAATCTAATGTAATGGTAACACTTTTCAGGTTTTTAAGTTTAATATTTAGATTTTTTTTTAATGTGACTTTATTCGGAAATAGGGTCTTTTTAAAAAAATTATTTATTTAATTTATTTATTTTTGGCTGTGTTGGGTCTTCGTTGCTGTGCGTGGGCTTTCTCCAGTTGCCGCGAGTGGGGGCTACTCTTCGTTGCGGTGCACAGGCTTCCTTATTGCGGTGGCTTCTCTTGTTGCGGAGCATGGGCTCTAGAGCACAGGCTCAATAGTTGTGGTGCATGGGCTTAGTTGCTCCATGGCATGTGGGATCTTCCCAGACCAGGGCTCGAACCCATGTCCCCTGCATTGGCAGGCAGTTTCTTAACCACTGTGCCACCAGGGAAGCCCACAGATTTTTATTTTTGATAAATTGAATAGATTTCTCAGTTATCAAATATTTATTGAACATTAACTGTTTCATAATTTTACTTCTCCTTATTGAATCTTGCTCAGGAGTGGGTAAACGGTAAAGTCTTCACTATTAGTAACCAAAACGACTAGTTTTAGAAGGTTAAGATATGACTGGTAATTTAGATAAATAGGGACGATAGTTACTTAAGGATGTCAGTATTTGAGAGTCCACTGTGGATTGTGATGAAATTTAATGAGGGGGAGTAACGACTTTTTAAAAAACTTGGCTCAATTAAAATCTCAACGATATGTTTTCTAGTACTAGACACAAATCACTGTACTAAATTAAATTGAAAAGAATTTTTCAGAGTATGACAATACAGATATTCTAAAATGTGAAATATGGTTAAAATAGCATTTCAGTTTTTTATTAAATTTTTTTTAAAAGATTTATTTATTTTTGGCTGCATCGGGTCTTAGTTGAGGCATGTGGGATCTTTTGTGTGGCGCACGGGCTTCTCTCTAGTTATGACTTGCGGGTTTTCTCTTCTCTAGTTGTGGCACGCAGGCTCCAGGGTGCGTGGGCTCTGTATTTGTGGCCTGTGGGTTCCAGAGCACATGGGCTCTGTAGTTTGCGGCACGTGGGCTCTAGTTGACGCGTGTGAGCCTGGTAGTTGTGGTGCATGGGCTTAGTTGCCCCACGCATGTAGGATCTTAGTTCCCCGCCCAGGGATCGAACCAGCGTCCCCTGCATTGTAAGTCAGGTTCTTTACCACTGGACCACCAGGGAAGTCCCTTTAATTAATTTTAATGCCCCTTTTTCTACTAGAATTACAGTTGACCCTTGAACAACACAGTTTTGAACTGCATGGGTCCACTTATATGTGGATATTTTTCAATAGTAAATACTACAGTACTACATGGTCTGAGGCTGGTTGAATCTGTGGATGTGGAGGAACCTTGGATATGGAGGAAATTTGGATACAGAGGGCCGACTATAAGTTATATGCATTAACCCCGCATTGTTCAAGGGTCAACTGGGGTTGAATTAACATAGGTAATTTTATGATTTATTAGCTATAAATGAAAAATTAAATTATATAAATACTTGTACCTATATAGCTTGTTCCTGTTAAAGTACAGGAATCTATCAGTCTTTTTTACCACTGTGTCTCCAATACTAGGAGATATTCCTTCCATATTATAGGAACTCAATAAATATTTGGTGAATAAGGAAGGATCCATATTTAAACCATTGAAAAATTTAAAACTTTTAAAAGATACAAGTGCATTATAAGTTTTATTTCTTGGCTTAATTTTATGAATCATTTTTTCCTGACAGTTAAAGGATTGCAATGTCATTGCAACAAAGTTAGTTCTAATGCTGGATGACTTATTATGGGTTTTAACGGATTCCCAGTTGAAGGCTATGGTACAATATGCAAAATCTCTTAGTGAAGCAATAGAAAAATCAACAGACCAAAGGAAGAGTATGGCTCCTGAACCTACACAGGTATGCTATTATATGTTAATAGGAAAAACACTTCAGTTTACATGTAAATGGTTTAAAAATCAGAATGGTTGGTTGTTTTCTTTATGCAAAATAGATTATAATACTTTGAGTCCAAGAATCTTCTTATATATCTTACTATATTAATTTTACCTACATGGTATCTATATGAAAGCATATATTAAATGTATTTCTGTCTATATAGTACTTATCTTGTTTGGAGGTCTGTGCTTGGCATCAGAGTTACTGATAACATAAAAGTATTTTGATGTTATAAATACTTCCTTTCAGGAAGTTAAAAAATACAATTTAAAAATTACTAAAGTAAGTGCAAAAGGTAAAAACCTGGGTAATTATAGTCAAGGGAAAGAATGTAAGGATTAATATTAAAATAGGAAACTAAAGCCCTAGGGAATTGCTGAAGTTGAACACAAAACTGTTAGAATTGTCTGATGGCTGGGACGAAAATGGGGGAAGCTATTTATTGATCACTTTCTTAAAATCAGATGCATTACTAGTTTTTTCTTAAAAGAAAGAGGTATTCTAATCTTTCCTAGTAGTAAATTCTGAGAATTTGACATGAAGATTTTTGTAGAAGGGACATTGAAAATCCCAATGTGTAGTGTCTTTTGATAATTTTATAAGTCCGATTGACTTTTTATATCTATCCAATAAAGACTTAAAGGATATTGTGAAATCATACTTCTATGAATTATTTCATTAGAAACAGAGTAATTACATCTTAGATATATAGCTTGTTGGTGATCTGGCTGGTGCATGGGCTTTCCTGTGACTATCAGATTGGCGTTGTTTACTGCCTGTCTGCTTTGTCATAAGGTGCAGGGCTACATGCTGTGGATGTAAAAATAAATATTGTCTGATCCTGCCCTCAAGGATCTCAGTGTAATGGGGAATCAAATATAAAACAAATCATTGCAGTTCAATGTATATGCGAGAGTGCAGAATTAAAAATGGGAATGAGGAGATTATAGAAGCACAGAGAAGTTTTAATCAACTGCTTGTGGAGTTTGGAAAGGTTTCACAAAGAGGATAATGAAGTTAAGTCTTAAAAATGAGTAGAAGCTTCCAGGTGAGGGAAAGGGTATTTTGGATGAGGAAATAGAATCTGCAAAAGTATGATGGTGTTAAGGAGCATGGTATTTTCTGATAAAAATAAGGGGTTTGGTGTTCCTAGAGCATTATTTTTGAGAGTGAGGTACACATGCCTTGTGAATATATGACAACTTTCTAAGCTTTAAAGAAATTGTTTCACATCTTCCATTTTGATGTGTACTCTTTCTTAAATTTGGGCTACGTGAGAATGTTCTTCTGTTAAGATGTCAGACTGGTTCTCCCTTTCCATAATTTCTCGTATCCTAGTATCCTACTTTACAAATGAAAGGCATTCTTCTTACTCATCCTCATTCTTACTCTGATGGATTTGTTGGTGTGGGGGGTTGGGAAGGGAGGGTTTTGACTCAAACCTCTGGAAAATAAGACAGGCAATTTGAAATATTGCTGTCCATGTTGGAAGTGAATGACCCATGACAGACTAACAAATTAGGTGATTCCCACTTCTTTGCTTTCAACACATTTGAAGGAAGTTTAATAAATGTCAGCTGCTAGACTATTAAAAATAATTTTTTACAATAGATCACTTTGTGAATCCTGGCATGTAACTTGAAAGAGTTCAAAGAATCCTGTCACATTGCTAAAACAAAATTCATTTCATTCTAATCTACTTATTTATGATAACAAAGTTTCCCAGAGCTTTAAACGATAAAAACAAACAGAGAATTGATGGTGAACCCTGTATCATTCTACCAATAATTAATATTTATCCAATAAGATGTCTTCATAATTCTTCAAGGGAACCTAATTTTAAAAGTTTGATGAACAGAGTACTGGACCATAGCGTAGAATAGAGTTTTCCTAGGCAGGTAGCCTGAGTTTAAGCAGAAGTAAGTGGCAACTAGACATGATGAGCATTATATGTTTACTTTTCCTATAGGCATGCAGAAGCCAATGGAAGTTTTTAAATAGGAAACAAAAGTCAAGTATGACATGGTAGTATTATAGAGGGTAGACTGAAGAGTAGGAAGATTGCTATTCTAGGGGAGGAGTGGACTTGGACCTCTGGTAATGGTTTGAAAGAAGAAAAAACAAGCCAAATTGGGGAAAGACATCTGAGTCTTTCACCAGTTGAGGATAAAGAAGAGAGAAGAGTTGAAACTTTTCAAATAATTGGTAATTCCATTGGCCAATAGAATAAATGCAGAAGGAAGCAGGTTTGATTAGGGGAGGTAAGGCTGAGAAAAGGTAATAATGAGTTCCATTTTGGAGTGGGAAAAATAATTAAAGAAGTACAGGAGATAATATTTTACAATATTACCATCATAGACATAAACACTAGTCTGTTAAGGCTTGCAATAAGGATTTATGTAGCTTAGGAAGTCATTAACAGAGATGGTAATTGAAATTAAAGACCAATAGACAAAGTGTTGATGTTACTGTAGTTCTTACTTGTGCAATATGTGGATATGATTATATAAAATAGAATGTAGATTAGGAAGCTAGATGAAGATACAGATTAGGAAACTAGAAACAAGGACAAAATTCTATAATCCTACCACCATAACAAAACCAGTGTTATCATTTTGAGGTATTTCCTTACAGATTTTTTGCCTAAGCATCTGCATTTTTTCCTAGTTTTAGTAAGGATGTAGTAGCAAATGGCTATAGTTTTCTTCCATGTCATTAGTATTTGTAATTAGTATTTTTTGTCACACCATAATATTTTATAGTAGATGTACTTAACCATTCACATTACTGTGGAGTTTCTTTCTTGGGTAGTAGTTGTCACGTCACTACTTTAGTTATCATACAGAATGTCCTGATCACTTGAGGTACCAAGAGAGTGCATTAGAGAGTGAAATAGGTGACAGTTTTCCTTTGCTCAACTTTATAACTTGAGAGCTTTACAAACTTGAAAATTAAGTTTTTTAAGATTATTCATGAGGCAAAAGAATTTATAGTGACCCACTTTTCCCCCCACAATTGTCATCCAAAAACCTAAATCTACCTCAGTATGAAGAAAAGTGTTTGTAGGGAGATTAATGCTTATGTTTTTATTTGTATCAGCATTTGTCTTGATGAAAAAGAGGATACATGATTAAAGAAATACAGGAGAGTGTTTTCTTTCAAAACAGTACCATCATAGACATAAATAATAGTCTGTAAGGCTTTGAAAGTAGATGGGGGAAAACATAAGAAAAAGTGATTTTTCTGATGGAAATCAGTTTAACAGTTAATTAGTAAAAAAGCTTACTTGAGCCCCTAGAATTTAAGCCTTCACAACTATATTCATCTTTGCTTTTCTTTAAATACTGTGGGCCCCAATCATTTTCATTGAGAGATTCTCATTTACCGAGTACACTTTGAAATTCTTTTACAGTATGACCATAGTTCTTACTATTAAGAATATGTATATTGTATACAAGCTATATGTATATAGTACTTTAATTTTCTGTAAATAACTATACTTTTAATGAACTGTTCTTAATTAGAAAAATTTTAAATATTTTTAATAAAAAATCTGGTCTTCATTTTGTTAATTGTTACCAGAGTTTCATGTATAGTTCTATGGCTAACATGTACATATCATCTCACAGTATTCTTATGTATGCAGAGTTATTTTAGGCTGTTGGAGGTTCACAGATATCTTTATACTTCAACAGTAGTCTGTTTTTTCTCTTTGGGGAGAAAAGAATGTGAACTCACAATCCGTTATAAATCTCTTCTGCTTTCTGGCTTCTTCAGATATCCAAGTTCAGAGGACATACCACACCTCTTAAGAGGCGTGAGAGCACGTATAGTACTAAATAATATCACAAGTGCTTTTACAAAGTAATGATTTATTTCTACAGGACATACAATAGTGTATATAGCTGATGTATACAGGGCTCACATTTGTTTTCTTTTTCAATATATAAAACTAATAATATTTAAATAAACTGCCTTTAATAGTTAAAAATATATTTTCTAAAACAGGAAGGGCTATAAATATAGCTATTCAGATATTTACTAAAACGTATTGGGTTCATATTCAAATTATTTACAGTTCTCCAGTTTTTAGGCTTTAGTTTTATTCCTACATAATTCAGAAAATATTTTAGGAAACAGTTACTGATACAAAAGAAAATGTATTTGCTTGTTTTTTATGACTTTATTACTAAAAATATTTCAGTTTTTTTGAGTGAGGAATGTCAAATATTTAACTTGCAGTGCTAAGGCAGTTTTGAATCTTTTAGAGCTCTACAGTAGCCCCATCTACCCAGCAAGTGAAGACACCACAGACTTCAAATGCTCCTGATCTAAATGATGCAAGTGTGAAACTATTCAATGACTTTGATGTTAAAGAAACCTCCCATCATTTAGTGATTTCTCATCTAGATCTACACATATGTGATGATATTCATGCTAAAGAAAAAGGTAATAAATAATAAAAGCTGCTATTTGAAACTATTTTTGGTTTTTCTAGAACTTACTACACATCTGGATTGTTTATCATATGCAATATATAGTCTGTACTCTTAAGATAACTAGTCATAATTTTATCATTCATTGAGGTATGTAGATGAAAGGTATAATTTTAAGCATTGTATTGGTATAAAATTTTATTTTGCTTTAATAGTACCTCAACATAATTAATTGTTAGCTGTCAATGCTAATGGTAAAATTCGTTGTTTTTTTTTTTCACGACTGACATCCTTAGAGGTTGATGAAAAATTAGACTAGCCTTTGAATTAACTTTTTCATAATTTTGAAATTGTAAATTAAATTTTAGTGCACACTCAATTCATAATTATTTGCACACGTATTTTCACTTGATCTTAGCCAAAAGGCCGAAAAGCGATGCACATGCATTTTCAGCATGATGGTTTATCTACATTTTTCTGACCCTATGTGCATATAAACAGAACTATGTGGCTGTTTAACATTTCTTGTGTCTCCTTACTCCAGATCCTCCCTAAATTTGGTCAGGAAGCTAAATCCCAGTTAGGAAGGTTTTTTCTTTCCTTTTAGCTTTTGCTTCTCTTATTTTTCCCTATTTAGTAAACACAGGTAATGTGGTTAACAGGGAGCTGCTCTTGGTCACTTTGAAAATCTGTGGTTCCATACTCTAGGTGCTGGGCATTTCTGTTTCTCCTCCAGAGAGTGTCTCTGGCCCATAAGTGTTGGAAGGACTCGTCAGGTAGTCCTGCCTCTAGGACAGTGTTTCTCACACCTTGGTGAGCATGAGAATCAAGCTGAGAATCTTTTTTAAATGGAGACATCCAACCTGGGGCCTCAGACCTGAATCAGAATCTATGTCTATGAGAGTTGTTGCTCTGAATTTTTAAAGCTGAGAGAGTGAATATTGAGACCAACCCCTGTAACTTCTGTTGCTCCTATACTTAGCAATGGAAGTTACCTTGCCTTCTCAGAAAGGGCAGCCAGATATCAGCTACCAGATAAAAGGGTGGAGCAGCAAAGGTAAGGAAGATTTGGAGTTTGGAGAGAGATTTGCTGTCTTTTGTTTGTTTACCTTTGTGTCATTTGGCTTGTAGTTGGCATCTTCTGCTTTAGTGATTTGAAAGGAAAATCAAAAAAGTTAAAACAAACCAAAATAACAATATGAGGGGTCAAGGTTAAGTGATCAGCAAAAAACCAGAAAAGTGTTTTCTCAGCTCTTTTACATTCCTCCCTCTATATTCCCTCATAGAATAAGCTAAATGATGTTATTTAAGGAGAAAACCCCTCCACCAAAATAGCTTCCTCATCTTAAAGATCTATAATCAGTTCTCTGCTATTCTAAAATCCAGAAGGGTCTGAAATGCTTTTTCATAAGTTTGTAAAGAATTCATTTGCTGGCAAAACTTCATCTAAATGAGCACGTTGCTATTTATCATCTTTCTTATACCCACTTAGTGTAAAAACTTGAGTTTTGCTGCAGAATTACTATCTTTTGTTACTTAGTGCTGCTTCAGAACCTGCTGGCAGTGTTGTGTTTATATACATACATATATATGTATGTATACACAGATATACGTACATTACTTTAATAAGATCTAAAACAGTTCTGAATTCTGAAACATTTGGCTCCAAGGGTTTTAAATAAGGGGTTGTAGATCTGTACTAGAAATTCTGCCGGTTGAGATAAATTGCAGTTAACAAATTAATATAGAGAGTGTGTACATAGCTCTATACTAATTTGTATTTGATTTGTGTATGCTGTTTTAGTGTTTGAGTTCTATGTTGGAGTTACACTGACTTTTCATCTACTTCGGATTTCTTTTTTACCTTTTTTTATTTTTATTTTTTCTTCTAGTTTTATTGAAGTATAATTGACATACAGCACTGTATAAGTTTAAGGCATACAGCATAATGATTTGACTTACATACATCATGAAATGATTATCACAGTAAGTTTAGTGACCATCATCATCTCATATAGATACAAAATCAAAGAAATTAAATTTTCCTTGTGATGAGAACTCTTAGGATTTATTCTCTTAACTTTCATGTACAACATACGGCAGTGTTGATTACATTTATCATGTTGTACATTATATTCCTAGTACTTATTTATCTTATAACTGAAAGTTTGTACCTCTTGACTGCCTTCATCGTATTCTCCCTTCCCCCACCCCTTGCCTCTTGTAACCACAAATCTGATCTCTTTTTCTATGAGTTTGTTTGCTTTTGAAGTTTAGTTGACCTACAGCACTATGTTAGTTCCTATTACACAACATAGTGATTCATTATTTCTATACATTTCAAAATGATCACCGTGATAAGTCTAGTTATGATCTGTCCCCGTACAAAGATACTATGTAATTATTTACTATATTCCCCACACTGTACATTTCATACCCATGACTCATTTATTTCACAACTGGAAGTTTGTACCACTTAATCTCCCTCACCTATTTTTCTTCTTCCCCTATCCCCCTGCCCTCTGGCAATCACCTATTGACAAATACTGTATGATTTCACTTATATGTGGAATCTAAAAAACAAAATAAATGAACAGACATAACAAAACAGAAACAGTTTTAGATACTTCCAATCTTTTTTTTTTTTTTTTTTTCTTGGAGCATCATTTATTTTCAATGAGGAGTCATTTAAAACATGATTTTTGTATTAAAATATAGTATTATAGTTTGCAGAATTCAAGAACATTTACAAAAGAAAGCATGAAATTTCAAAGACATTTGTCACTAGTACCAGAGAACCAGGTTCTCATACTGCCATTCTTGGGTATTTTACTGGCAGAGTTTGAGCAGCATAACTAGATTTCTGGCAACTCCAAATCATTGCAACTTCTATCCCCTGTGCCTTCAGTTGCTCCTGAATCTCTTCTCAGAAGTTTTATAAGCGTAAGCGTATTTGTCCAAAGCACAAGTAAATTTAATTAAGATTATGTCCACCAAAATAAAGCAACTCTTCATTTGAAATATTATTTTTAAAATTATCCCCAATTAAAGCACTATTTCAGCATACTATCCTGGTTAATGACACGTGTCTGAAGTCAGATTGTCTGGACTCTCTACCATGCAACAGCTGTGTGACCTTGAATAAGTAACTTAACCTCTATGTTCTTCAATTTCATTGGCCCTTCATAAGATTGTTACAAGATTTAAATGGGTCAATATTTGTAAAGCATCTAGAAAATTACTTGGAATATAATAAGTGGTACAAACCTTGTTGTACAGAGCCCTAAAGTTTTATTTTTCTACAGCTCTATTTTCAGGTAGAAGGAATATGGCTATCCATATAAGGAGTTTCATAACCTCATCTTGAGGTGATAACTTTGGGTGGAATATATCTATCGGTCAGCTTTCTAATGATCCAACCTTTAGTAGCATTAGAAGGGAAGGCAAAGTGCCAAAAAAAGAGAACTTCTAACCCTAAAGAGCTGTTTAAGGGTGTTTTGACATCCCAAAAAGCAATAGAAAGACTAGGACAAATGGAAGCCCTGCCAAATAGCATTTATTTCAAAAATGTGAGAAGACTTGATCTCTAAATTTTATTTTGAAGAATCACATTTTAAACAAAGGGGCAAACATTAATGCCACATTCTATTCAGTGGCATTTAAATAAGACCAACTACATTTACTTAAGGGTGTTTTGGGGAGGTTGTTTTATTTTTTGTCTGATAGATTCTAAAAGCATAGATTCTATTCCACATACCATATCTAAGAAATTATCTAAGCTTCTGCCCAACTAGATGACAGAAGCTTATTCTAAGAGCGAGGATCCATGCTTTTGCTCTATTATAATATACCCATAATTAAATGGCAGTAAAAAACTAGCAATCTTAAGTTTTTCTGATAAGCCTGGCTTAGTAATTCTCAAGCTTTTTAGTCTCAGGACCACTTTACACTCTCAAAAACTATTAAGAACCTCAAGAGTTTTTTTTACGTGGATTATATCAATAAATATTTACAGAATTAGAACATTTGAAATGGAAAAAAAAATGTTTTTTTTTGGATACTTCCAATCTTAACATAGCTGTGTGACTTTAGAAAACTTACCTAACCTAGTAGATTCAATTGCTTCTTCAACAAGAGGCAGGATGATATAAGGTAGTGGTTAGGATTTCCTGGTTTCAAAACCAGCCCTATGCTAACTGATTGTATGACCTTGGCCTATTTACTTAATTTTCTTATCTAGAAAATAGGCATAATATTAATGGTATCTATTTCATAGGGTTGCCATGAAGAGCAAATGAATAAGTACACTTAAAAAATTTAAAACAGTGTTTGGCATATGGTTAGGTCTGTAAATATAAAAGTTCTGCTATTCTTGTATCCTCACCTTTTAGCTTAGTACCTTGCAGGGGATAGGGGCTCAATAAATACTTACTAGGTTGAATTGCATTTCTTTCTTTTTCCAAAAAATATTTATTTATTTATTTATTGTCTGCATTGGGACTTAAGTGTGGCACGTAGGATCTTTCGTTGTGGTACACAGTCTTCTCTCTAGTTGGGGTGCATAGGCTTTTTTCTAGTTGGGGTGCACAGGCTTCTCTCTAGTTGTGGCACGCACGCTCCAGAGCGCATGGGCTCTGTAGTTGTGGCACTCAGGCTCTCTAGTTGTGGCATGAGGGCTTATAGTTGCCCTGCGACATGTGGGAACCTAGTTCCCGGACCAGGGATCGAACCGGTGTCCCCTGCATTGCAAGGCAGATTCTTAACCACTGGACCACCAGGGAAATCCCTGTATTGCATTTCTTAAAATCCTTGTTGTATTAACCTTGGTAACAGAGAGACAGTTATCACTGCTTGGACTGCAGGTATGGTAAATGAAATGTTTCTTATATTTGCTTAATACTTCTTTCTCTGTCTCTCTTTCAATTTCATCTTTTTCTTTTCCCAGAGTCAAACAGACGTATTACTGGAGGGGCTATGCAACTGTCTTTTACACAGCTAACTATAGATTATTATCCTTATCACAAAGCAGGTTTGTATAACAGTTTATTTAAAAGATGTAAATCTTGCTTTTAAATTATATAGCCAATTTATTTTGTTTTGTTGTTATTTTATTATTTTGTTTTAATTTTTTAAGGAGAAAAGAAATCAAGGCATTTATTATTTCCCTCCCCACCCTGGCAGTATCTTACCAAGAAAATGTAATTGCCATGGAAAATATTCATGAATCTTATATTGAGGTTTATGTAGATTATTAGTAAATATAATTGTTAGAAATTGAAAATATTGTAAACTGATTTAAAACTTTAAAAAATTAGAAGATAGAAGACATATATTTGTGCTATTTTGTTAATTATGACAAAAGCAAGTTATTAATGTTTTGAATTTTTTAATTATATATATTCAAAAATCAAAAAAGAAAATAAAGCAAAAGGATAACAGTGATTTTAGTTAAATTGTAGGGTTCCAGGAACCTTTTTTTTTTGTTTGTTTTTGCGGTACGCGGGCCTCTCACTGTTGTGGCCTCTCCCGTTGCGCAGCACAGGCTCCGGATGCCCAGGCTCAGCAGCCATGGCTCACCGGCCCAGCCGCTTCACGGCATGTGGGATCTTCCCGGACCGGGGCACGAACCCGTGTCCCCTGCATCGGCAGGCGGACTCTCAACCACTGCGCCACCAGGGAAGCCCCAGGAACCTTTTTTTAAAAACTTTTTTGTATTTTCTAAATTTCATCAATAGATAAGAGTTAATAGGTTCTTTAATAATCACATATTGATAGGCACTTTCCCCCCAAATAATAAAAACAAAAATATGTATGTTTATGGCCAAATTAAGTAATTTGACCTTATGCCCATCTCTGCATTTTGGTGATATGTGGCTTTTTATTTTTTAATTCATACAAATAAGAAAAAAACAAATAACTATAATGAGTTTTCTAGAACTTTTAAAATATGATAAAATTTTTCTCTTCACAAATTTCAATTTCTCAGTGTTTGTCATTTCTGTGTCAGTACCTGGTAGAATTTAAAGGTTGTACTATTTGTTTAGAGTTTTGTTTGAAGGGCTTTGTCTTACAGTTTGACCTCCTGATTCATAAGTGACTTACATATACTGAAAATAATTTTTACCATAGAAATCATTCCTATTTAGAAGGTAAAACTTTTAGTCATAAAGTAGGTTTTATTTTCTTAACCCTTTTATGTAGATACTACTTTTCTTAATTGCTACAGATAAACCTAATAATCCTGATTTAAAATTTTTCCTCCAAAAATCCTATATGTGATATATATATACACATATACATACATATATATATATGTGTGTGTGTGTGTATATATATATATATATATATATATATATATATATGTATATATATATATGGCTGCATTTACTCACTTTGCAACAAATCTCTGATGAAGAGACTTTTTCCTGTAAGGTATTTACTGGGATTCTATTCAATGGAGGCATGCCAGGGGTTGAGCATTCAGTGAAGGTTGACCAGCATTGCTGCTTCTTATTGAAACTTTGAGTGATGTTCTACCTAAGATGGGTTCTAGACAGAAACCCTCCCAGGTTATTTGCTTTTGACACTCTTTCCCTCCATTCTAAATGTTTTACTCATATTTTCTAGGAAGATTAATGTCTGTAGTAGGTGAAAGCTTCAAATTTATTAGCAGGTTAAAGAGTCCCTTGAGAAAATGAATATTTATCATTAGAAACTCTGCTATAATTGAATAAATGAAAAGTGTACATTTTTCAGTGAAATACTTGTTATTCATTTTACAGGAGATAGTTGTAATCATTGGATGTATTTTAGTGATGCAACGAAAATAAAAAATGGTTGGGCCAACGAGTTGTTACATGAATTTGAGTGCAACGTTGAAATGCTTAAACAGGCTGTAAAGGATCATGATGTAGGTTCACCTCCTAAATCCCCAACACATGCCTCTCCCCAGCACACACAAACAGGTATTTTACCTCTAACAACATTATGTCATTCCCCTGATATTAATTGGGTGTGTGTATGTGTGTGAGTGTGTGTGTATGTTCACCATATGGTATTTTCTGTAAATAAATATGGTGTTTAATTAATGTCTAAAAAGCCTGTACCTCATTCGGATCATAGGCTTATAGATCAAAGCACTTTATAAATTAACATGACTAATAAAAGTAATACCCATGTAGAATATTTCAAACTCTTAAATGACAGGTAGATTTCTCTTTTTAACAAGAATTCCACCCAAAAGTTATTGTATGAGAGTTTCTTCAATGTGATATGATTCCCATTTAAAGAATAATTATCACAAAATAAAAGAGTAATCATCATAATAACTTATGTTCTTATATCAGTTTATATATAAAGTATTTCCACATATGTTACCTTGTTTGAGAAATTAGGGTTCATCTATATTTCTAGTAGCTGTCTTAGTAATAAAAGAGTGACTGGTAAAAATAATTTTACTATAAATTAAAAGGAATTTTTGTTTCCCACAGAGAAAGACTCAACTCTGAAAGGGACTTCCAAAACGCCTACAGTGTTACCTCAACAATCCAAAGTTAAGTTAATGTCTAGTTCTGTTGTGGTTAGACTTGCAGATTTCAATATATACCAGGTATGTTTTATTTCTTAAATCTTCTGATAAACACCTTTAGTATCTCCTGCAAACAACTCTTATAAACCAGTGCCACCATTTTATTTAAAAACATCTTGACCAGTATTGTGAAATGACTAAATTAGACAGAATAGAAAATACAGTTCATTAATTTTCACTTATATGGTTACCCAGAATTAGGCAAACTGTGAGGTTAAGGGCACAGTTTGCCAGACTGCCAAGTCTGCACAAGACTTCTGACACCACTGTAGTTTCTGGGGTTTACCTAAACTACCCTCAGATTCGAGAATTTACTAGAAAAACTCAAAGAACTCGCTGTAATCAGTTATACTCAGAGGCACATTTATTACAAGGCAGGAATACGAATTAAAACCAGCCATAGGAAGAGAGCACAGAGTGGAGTTTCAAAGGGCTCCAAATTCAGAATTTCCTTGTCCCTAGGACACATTAGCCTCCCAGAATGAACATGTAACAATATGTATGAAATATTGCCCACGTAGTTGAACTCAGTCTCTACAGGTGGTCTTAAACACTACTAAGACTATCAAGTGTGGTCAGTCCCATTCTGAGTCATCTTGTGAGCATAAACTATCAGTTGTGGTCTCAGGGGTCTACCATGAATAGGAAATTCCAAGACTTTAGAATTACCTCCCAGGACTTTCCCAGGGGTCCAGTGGTTAAGACTCTGCCTTCCATTTCAGGGAGCGTGGGTTCGATCCCTGGTCGGGGAACTAAGATCCCACTGGCCATGCAATGCGGCCAAAAAAAAATTTAAGAAGAAAACATGGAAAAAAAAAAAGAATTACCTCCCAAGAGTAGGGACAAAGGCCAGACCTCTCTTTGTAGGCCAGATTCCTTATTTCACAAAGGTCTTAGTGGAATAAACTAGAACACGATATTTGCTTAATTAACTACTAAGTATTGACTACACTGTGAACATAATTTTATAGCTAAGAACTCTGTCCTATTTATACTAACATTCTTATTCAGGCTATAATCGGTACAACATGGTCTAACATCACAATCCTTGAGACCAACACGGTAAAAATATGACCCTTTTTTTTTTTTAAATAAAGGATTTCAAGTATGTATTATCATTTGTGAATTGTGTGTATATTTTGATAAGTCTGTGTCTTTGAGACTTAGTTTTATCTGGAAAGGTTTCATTTTACTCAGTAGTTTTCAACTGGGACCAGTTTTGCCCTCCAGAGGACATTTGGCAATGTCTGAGGACAATTTTTGTTGTCACAGCTGGAGGGGGTTGCTGCTGATGTCTAGTGGGTAGAGATCAGTGTTGCTGCTGAACATTCTACAGTGCACTGGACAGCCCCCATAACAAAGTTATCTGGCCCCAAATATCAATAGTGCCAATTCTGAGATACCCTGATTTAAGAGTTACTTTCTTATTGTGCAATTGCTTCTTTCTTTATGTTCTCTATATAATGCATTATATTTGAATAAATTCATATGGAAATGGGGAAGGGGAATCACCCATAATCCCATATGATTGAGAATGAAATACAATAAAGAAATCCGACATACACGAATACATCAGAACAAAACAAACAAAAGTAACTGGAAGAAAATAAGATAGTATGTTCATCCCAATTTGAATAACTTTTTAACTATTAAAAGAAAAAGGAAAAAAGCTATTGTCTACTGTATAAAATAACTTGACACTCTGGAGTTGAAAAGAATTTGTTTCCATGCATGCAGAGAAAAGCTTCTTATTAGACAATGTAAGGAACTGACTTAAATTTATGAAGACTGTACAAATAATCAAAGGTTTGATTAACAATTTATACAAGGGGAAACAAGTAAAACATTGAAGAGTCATTCCACTTCACATGAGAAGTATACATGTTTGTTGAATGAATGAAAAAAAATAACATTGAGATATATCCCTGGGTCTGCTAAACAAGCATAAATAAGTGAAACTGATAAAATGCTATTGGTTGAACTTTGGAGAAATTCGTATACAAGTTTTTGATGTGATTATAAATTAGCTGTTTTGGGCAGAGAGTGAAAAATGTGTAACATGAATCTTAAAACTAGTAGTCTTTTTGGAAAAATAATTTAAGAGCTTAAACTATTTGACAGGAGCATTTATAGTGTACTGTTAATTTTAAATTAATTTTTATTGTGGTAAAATATACATGACATAACATTTATCATTTTAACCATTTTTAAGTATACAGTTCATTGGCATTAAGTATATTCACATTGTTGTACAACCATCACCACTGTCTGTCTCTGTAATTTTTTTGTTATTCTAAACTAACATTCTGTATATAATTATTTTTCATAATAATGAATTATGGTAAAGAACTATTATAAAGTACATAGTTGGGAAGCAGTCTAGTCTTGAGGACTTGTATCTGTGTCCTGACTCTGCCACTTATTTGTATTGTCTTACAGAAATATTCTGTCTGTTATTGTAAGGCTCAAAGTAGTAAGTTTGCAAAGAAAATTGTACAGAGTTGACTTTGTAATAAGAATCCAAAGAGGTTATAGTTTTATGAATAAGTTAATTGGTATTATTTTAAAATAATTTAATATGAAATTAAATATATGATAAAGATTACATTGGCAATTAACTAATTAATTATTGGAAGTAGTTTTAAGAGTTTGAAGTACTGTCCATGTTGCATAAATTCTTTGGAAAGGGCTTTGTTTAGTGTTGCTTCAATAAAATTAATTATTTTTTCAGGTCTCTACAGCAGAACAATGTCGTTCTTCCCCCAAAAGTATGATTTCTTGCAATAAAAAATCCCTGTATCTTCCACAAGAAATGTCAGCTGTCTATATAGAATTCACAGAATATTACTATCCAGATGGAAAGGATTTTCCAAGTAAGAGAGTTTCCTTTTTTGGTATTGTTTGTCCATTACTTGGGAAGTTGATTTTTTCTTGCTAAGTTTTCAAGTATTATAAATGTGAAAAAAGAAAAAAGTCCATTGTTCTTTGCCCTTGTAATCATTGTGTTTAGTATATAACTCTAGTATAGCATTTTTACTTACTTATTATTTGTTCATATGTTCTCTTCCCTTACTAGCTTGTAGCATCCTTGTTATCAGGAACCATGTAGTATTCATGCTTCATTTTATCCCTGAGGTTTGACTCATTTTTGTTCTTAGTCGTTGTTGTTAAATGAAAGAATGAATGAAAGTTAGGTTATTGTAGAATAAGGTCATTTTTTTTTTTTAGTAAAACTTCATTTATATTTCAGCTACATAAAACTCTATTTCATTAAAAAATGAATAGTGAAGTCAGCCTTTTAGTTATAGAGAATTTGGGAGGCTAGGTTTTGATACCCAAATGTATACCTTGGACAACTTTTGGCACTGTCTTTTGTTAGAAACATTGAATTACATGAATTTTTATTTGTAAGCTACTTTATGATTATACATTTGTATTCTTTGTTATTGTCTCAGTTCATCTAATTCTTCAAACTAAAATTTACCTTTGTTTATGTGGTACCTTTTTCATTATTTTGGTTGAAAATTATAGTTGAGAAAAAGTGTTTAAATGAAATAGGTTATATTATTTGAGGAAAAAAAAATTTTTTAAGTAGAACTCCAGATTCTTTGACCTACTTAGCTCATTTGTTTAATATTCACTTAATATAGGTTTTTAGTTTCAAAGGGAATTTCTGATGCTCATGCCTTTGTTGTTAAATTAAAAAAAAGATATCCTTTGGAGAAAGAAATTACTTTGGAGAAAGAGATGTCAAACTATTTTATCATTTTAATCCTCATTTGTAATGACCTTTTAGTATCTAATCTCCTCACCATCTTCATGCTTTTCAGTATTCTTTTGTGTATTTCAAATTTGTTTTCTCTTCTACCTCCTTGACTGGAACAGTGAGAAAATTAAGATAGGTTAAGGCATTTGCTCAGCACCTTTATGAAGAATAAAATGGCACAGCTGAAACTCAAGTATAGGTCTTCTAAATCAAAATTCTTCTTACCCTTTCCCCCCAACTATATTTCACTGCCTCCCCAGGTTATTCACAACTATTTACCTGTAATTGGATAATCCCATTGTTTCCAACACCCACCCCCCAAATTGTTTTCCTTAAATAATGTCTCATTCATTGAACTAGTAACTTTTCTTCAGACTAAAGCCTATAGTTTCCAGGATTTCAGACTTCTAATCTAGGTTTATTTCTATCAGTCTTGTTAACATGCACCAAGGGAATTATAATCCCATTCTATAATCTATATGATTTTTTCTGATAAAAATATAAAACTCCTTCCCAGCAATGTAAATCTTAGCCACCTAGGAGTGAAATTGGTTGCTTACGTTTAACTGTTTTCAACTTTTTATTATGGAAAATTTCAAACAGATATAAAAGTAAAGAACATAGTATACTGAATCCCTGTGTATAGGGATCCATTTTCAGTCCTCACATTTCATCTTTCTGTTAAGCGATCCAACTTTAAAAATATATAACCTTTTTTTATAATTGTAAATGTAACATACATTCATTATATTAAAAAAAAAGAGAAAATGCCAAAAATTTAAAAAATGCCTGTGAGCCTACAACTTAGAGACAACTTCTACTAACATAAGTGTATCAGTTTGCTAAGGCTGCCATAATAAAATACCACAGACTAGGTGGTTTAAACAACAAATTTATTTCCTCACAGTTTTGGAGGCTAGAAGTTCTAGGTCAGAGTGTTGACAGGGTTGTTTCCTCAGAGACCTCTTTCGTTGGCTTGTAGATGGCTGTCTTCTCACATGGTCTTTCCTCTGTGTGTATCCATTTTTTAAGCTCTTCTTATGGCACCTGTCATATTGGACTAGAGCCCACCCATATGAACTCATTTTTACCATAATTGCCTCTTTAAAAGCCCTATCTCCAAATACAGCTCATTCTGAGGTATTAGGGGTTAGAACTTCAGCATATCAATTTTGAGGGGATGCATTTCAGACCATAACAATAAGTATAGTGTTGTTAGTCCTGTTTTTAATGTATGCGTTTCTTTAACATGTTTGATTTACATCCTGTCCTTTTCCCTTAATGATCCTAGTTTCTACAAGTTCATTTTAAATATCTTTAATAGCTATGTAATAATCTATTTCATAAGTAGACCCCTGTAAGAAACTGCAGGTAGATCTCTCTACTGCTTAGTGTAGCAGGTTTCTTCCTCCATCCCAGGATATGCAGTCAGGGTTCTTCTATCCTGGACTACATTTGCTCTCTAGTTCTCTCTGTGGCTGCCATCATCACTCAATCTATATTTGAGATTCCCTCCACTTTCTTCCCTTGACATGATCGCTTCAGCAACCCACTTCCTTACTATCCTCAGAGATAAGCACCTCCACATCCCAATAAGATGTTTCTGTTTATATATATAAATATATACATTTAAATTTATTTATTTATTTTTGGCTGCATTGGGTCTTCATTGCTGTGCGTGGGCTTTCTTTAGTTGCGGCGAGCAGGGGTTACTCTTCGTTGCAGTGTGAGGGCTTCTTATTGCGTTGGCTTCTCTTGTCGCAGAGCACGGGATCTAGGTGCGTGGGCTTCAGTAGTTGCGGCACACGGGCTCAGTAGTTGTGGCTCGCAGACTCTAGACCACAGGCTCAGTAGTTGTGGTGCACGGGCTTAGTTGCTCCATGGCACATGGGATCTTCCCAGACCAGGTATTGAACCTGGGTCCCCTGCATTGGCAGTCAGATTCTTAACCAGTGTGCCACCAGGGAAGTCCCAAGAAGGGAAAGTTTTTGAAGGTTGCTTCTTGCTGACTGTAACAATAGGAAAAGAAATCAAAACAATACCTCTTATTTATACAGTTAGTTTTAGATTAAACTGTATACATTTATTTTTTTTTCGGTATGTGGGCCTCTCACTGTTGTGGCCTCTCCCGTTGCGGAGCACAGGCTCCGGACACGCAGGCTCAGCAGCCATGGCTCACGGGCCCAGCCGCTCCACGACATGTGGGATCTTCCCGGACCGGGGCACGGACCCACATCCCCTGCATCGGCAGGCGGACTCTCAACCACTGCGCCACCATAGAAGCCCTGCATACTTTTTCTTTAACATCTTTATTGGAGTACAATTGCCTTACAATGGTGTGTTACTTTCTACTGCATAACAAAGTGAATCAGCTATACATATACATATATCCCTATATCTCCTCCCTCTTGCGTCTCCCTCCCACCCTTTCTATCGCACCCCTCTAGGTGGTCACAGAGCACTGAGCTGATCTCCCTGTGCTATGCGGCTGCTTCCCACTAGCCGTCTGTTTTACATTTGGTAGTGTATATATATCCATGCCACTCTCTCACTTCATCCCAGCTTACCCTTCCCCCTCCCCGTGTCCTCAAGTCCATTCTCTACATCGGCATCTTTATTCCTGTTCTGCCCCTAGGTTCTTCAGAATCTTTTTTTTCTTTAGATTCCATATATATGTGTAAGCATATGGTATTTCTTTTTCTCTTTCTGACTTATTTCACTCTGCATGACAGACTCTAGGTCCATCCACCTCACTACAGATAACTCAATTTCATTTCTTTTTATGGCTGAGTAATATTCCATTGTATATATGTGCCACATCTTCTTTATCCATTCATCTGTCGATGGTCACTTAGGCTGCTTCCATGTCCTGGCTATTGTAAATAGTGCTGTGATGAACATTGTGATACATGACCCTTTTTGAATTATGGTTTTCTCAGGGTATATGCCCAGTAGTGGGATTGCTGGGTCATATGGTAGTTCTAGTTTTAGTTTTTTAAGGAATCTCCATACTGTTCTCCAAAGTGGCTGTATCAATTTACATTCCCACGAGCAGTGCCAGAGGGTTCCCTTTTCTCCACACCCTCTCCAGCATTTATTATTTGTAGATTTTTTGATGATGGCCATTCTGACTGGTGTGAGGTGATACCTCATTGTAGTTTTGATTTGCATTTCTCTAATGATTAGTGATGTTGAACATCCTTTCATGTGTTTGTTTGCAATCTGTATATCTTCTTTGGAGAAATGTCTGTTTAGGCCTTCTGCGCATTTTTGAATTGGGCTGTTTGTTTTTTTTGATATTGAGCTGCATGAGCTGCTTGTAAGTTTTGGAGATTAATCCTTTGTCTGTTGCTTCATTTACAATTTTCTCTCCCATTCTGAGGGTTGTCTTTTTGTCTTGTTTATGTTTTCCTTTGCTCTACAAAACCTTTTAAGTTTCATTAGTTCCCATTTGTTTATTTTTGTTTTTATTTCCATTCCTCTGGGAGGTGCGTCAAAAAGGATCTTGCTGTGATTTATGTTATAGGGTGTTCTGCCTATGTTTTCCTCTAAGAGTTTTATAGAGTCTGGCCTTACATTTAGCTCTTTAATCCATTTTGAGTTTATTTTTGTGTATGGTGTTAGGGAGTGTTCTAATTTCATTCTTTTACATGTAGCTGTCCAGTTGTCCCAGCACCACTTAGTGAAGAGGTTGTCTTTTCTCCATTGTATACGCTTGCCTCCTTTATCAAAAATAAGGTGACTATAGGTGTGTGGGTTTATCTCTGGGCTTCCTATCCTGTTCCATTGATCTGTATTTCTGTTTTTGTGCCAGTACCATACTGTCTTGATTATTGTAGCTTTGTAGTATAGTCTGAAGTCAGGGAGCCTGATTCCTCCAGCTCCATTTTTCTTTCTCAAGATTGCTTTGGCTATTCGGGGTCTTTTGTGTTTCCATATAAACTGTGACATTTTTTGTTCTAGTTCTGTGAAAAATGCCCTTGGTAGTTTGATAGGGATTGCATTGAATCTGTAGATTGCTTTGGGTAGTAGAGTCATTTTCACAGTGTTGAGTCTTCCAATCCTAGAACATGGTATATATCTCCATCTGTTTGTGTCATCTTTAATTTCTTTCATCAGTGTCTTATAATTTTCTGCATACAGGTCTTTTGTCGCCTTAGGTAGCTTTATTCCTAGGTATTTTATTCTTTTTGTTGCAGTGGTAAATGGGAGTGTTTCCTTAATTTCTCTTTCAGATTTTTCATCATTAGTGTGTAGGAATGCAAGAGATTTCTGTGCATTAATTTTGTATCCTGCTACTTTACCAAATTCATTGATTAGCTCTAGTAGTTTTCTGGTAGCATCTTTAGGATTCTCTATGTACAGTATCATGTCATCTGCAGACAGTGATAGCTTTACTTCTTCTTTCTGATTTGGATTCCTTTTGTTACTTTTTCTTCTCTGATTGCTGTGGCTAAAACTTCCAAAACTATATTGAACAAGAGTGGTGAGAGTGGGCAACCTTGTCTTGTTCCTGATATTAGTGGAAATGGTTTCAGTTTTTCACCATTGAGAACGATGTTGGCTGTCGGTTTGTCATATATGGCCTTTATTATGTTGAGGAAAGTTCCCTCTATGCCTACTTTCTGGAGAGTTTTTATCATAAATTGGTGTTGAATTTTGTTGACAGCTTTTTTCTACCTCTATTGAGATGACCATATGGTTTTTCTCCTTCAGTTTGTTAATACGGTGTATCACATTGATTGATTTGCATATATTGAAGAATTCTTGCATTACTGGGATAAACCCCACTTGATCCTGGTGTGTGATCCTTTTAATGTGCCATTGGATTCTGTTTGCTAGTATTTTGTTGAGGATTTTTGCATCTATGTTCATCAGTGATGTTGGCCTGTAGTTTTCTTTCTTTGTGATGTCTTTGTCTGGTTTGGGTATCAGGGTGATGGTGGCCTTGTAGAATGAGTTTGGGAGTGTTCCTCCCTCTGCTATACTTTGGAAGAGTTCGAGAAGGATAGGTGTTAGCTCTTCTCTAAATGTTTGATAGAATTCGCCTGTGAAGCCATCTAGTCCTGGTCTTTTGTTTCTTGGAAGATTTTTAATCACAGTTTCAATTTCAGTGCTTGTGATTGGTCTGTTTATATTTTCTATTTCTTCCTGGTTCAGTCTCAGAAGTTTGTGCTTTTCTAAGAATTTGTCCATTTCTTCCAGGTTGTCCATTTTATTGGTGTATAGTTGCTTGTAGTAATCTCTCCTGATCCTTTGTATTTCTGCAGTGTCAGTTGTTACTTCTCCTTTTTCATTTCTAATTCTTTTGATTTGAGTCTTCTTCCTTTTTTTCTTGATGAGTCTGGCTAATGGTTTATCAATTTTATTTATCTTCTCAAAGAACCAGCTTTTAGTTTTATTGTTGTTTGCTATTGTTTCCTTCATTTCTTTTTCATTTATTTCTGATCTGATCTTTATCATTTCTTTCCTTCTGCTAACTTTGGGGTTTTTTTATTCTTCTTTCTCTAATTGCTTTAGGTGTAAGGTTAGGTTGTTTATTTGAGATGTTTCTTGTTTCTTAAGGTAGGATTGTATTCCTATAAACTTCCCTCTTAGAACTGCTTTTGCTGTATCTCATAGGTTTTGGGTTGTCGTGTTTTCATTGTCATTTGTTTCAAGGTATTTTTTGATTTTGTCTTTGATGTCTTCAGTGATCTCTTGGCTATTTAGTAGCGTGTTGTTTAACCTCCATGTGTTTGTATTTTTGCAGATTTTTTCTGTAATTAATATCTAGTCTCATAGCGTTGTGATCAGGAAAGATACTTGATACGATTTCAATTTTCTTAAATTTACGAAGGCTTGATTTGTGACCCAAGATACGATCTCTCCTGGAGAATGTTCCATGAGTGCTTGAGAAGAAAGTGAATTCTGTTGGTTTTGGATGGAAAGTCCTATAAATATCAATTAAGTCCATCTTGTTTAATGTATCATTTAAAGCTTGTGTTTCCTTATTTATTTTCATTTTGGATGATCTGTCCATTGGCGAAAGTGGGGTGTTACAGTCCCCTACTATGATTGTGTTACTGTTGATTTCCCCTTTTATGGCTGTTAGCATTTGCCTTATGTTTTGAGGTGCTCCTGTGTTGGGTGCATAAATATTTATAATTGTTATATCTTCTTCTTGGATTGATCCCTTGATCATTATGCAGTGTCCTTCTTTGTCTCTTGTAATCTTTATTTTAAAGTCTGTTTTGTCTGATATGAGAATTCCTACTCCAGCTTTTTTTTGATTTCCATTTGCGTGGAATATCTTTTTCCATCCCCTCACTTTTCCATCCCCTCACTTATGTGTCCCTAAGTCTGAAGTGGGTCTCTTGTAGACAGCATATATACGGGTCTTGTTTTTGTATCCAATCAGCCAGTCTATGTCTTTTGTCTGGAGCATTTAATTTATTTACATTTAAGGTAGTTATCTATATGTACCTGTTACCATTTTCTTAATTGATTTGCATTTAAACTGCATATTTTTCCATTAGTGAAGCAATGAAAGATGTTTTCTGTCTCTCCAAATGTGTTTGCTATCATCTACATGTAGTATCACTTTAATTTTGTAAATAACATTGCAAAATCTTTTAATCTTAATTTAAGAAGAATAAAACTTGGTTAAAATGTATTTTCTTTTCTCAGGGAAGATTTAAAACTATCAGTTTATTAAAAATCTTTAAAAATTTTTTTTCTCCACAGTTCCATCTCCCAACCTTTATAGCCAGCTGAATGCACTACAGTTTACTGTGGATGAAAGAAGTATTCTATGGTTAAATCAGTTTCTGTTGGATTTGAAACAGAGTCTTAATCAGTTTATGGCTGTGTACAAGTTGAATGACAATTCAAAATCTGATGAGCATGTTGATATTCGAGTTGATGGCTTAATGCTAAAGGTACCATATAAACAAGTGGCTGTGAGAACAAAACCATTTTTACAGAAGAAAAGTTATTTCCAGGATTTAAGATGGGTGCTCAAATATAAGTCAACTTCATTGCAATATTAATTTTGATTTTGAAATTTGAATTTTAATATCAGTTTTCAATTATGGAAGCTTTAAGAGACTGCTTCCCCACCCTTATCCACCCCTTTCTCTACTTTTCTTCCTTTTCTTCCCCCTGCTCATCCATTTAGAGGTAAGCAGTAGAAATAAATTTAAATGTCTTTTTTTTTCTACTTCTTACTGGAGCTCATCCATTTGGAGGTAAGCAGTAGAAATAAATTTAAATATCTTTTTTTTTCTACTTCTTGCTGGATCTGATAAAATTTTTTTAAGAAGGGTAAATAATACAGTGACACTTTTAAGTTATATCTGGGTTTTATTTGTTACATTTATTCTGTTATTAATATCCAAAGATAAAAGAAAGTTGTGTAATGCCAAAGATAAAAGAAAGTTGTGTTTTATTATAGCCAAGTAGTTGATAATCAGAATTCCATGGATATTTAAACTTTAAAGGAAGGAAGCTAAAAAAAAAAACAAAACAGTATAGTGTAGTCAATAGAGTAAGATTTGGGCATGGATGAATATTTCATTTTCTAGCTCTGTTGCTGGTAGCCTAAATTTACATACCCTTAATTTCTTCTCTGTAAAATGAGATTAATAATACTCAACGGTTGCATTGCAGAAATGTTTTAAAGATCGTTTCAAAGACCTTAAAATATTCAATATAAAGACACACTTTATAACATTTATAATTATAATTTAAAACAATTACATAATGATCTTTACATTTTGTGAATATGGGCAGTTTGAGTTTTAAAACCAGTCAGTTTGAACTCTTTGTTGTGAATATTTTGAGGACTGGGCTTAATTATCTGTAGAAAATAATTTTACTAAATCGTTTGACCTATACTCCTAAGTTTATTTTATTAATAGTTTTATCCCAGAAAAGTGATTCTAATGACAGTTGTCCAGTCATTCCATTTACTTATCTAGTCATCCTCCAAATTGCTTGGATTTAAAATATCATATCAAAAAATTATCTCTTCCAAACTTTGTGCTTTCTTATTTACTCAGGGTGTATATATACTCAGGGCATAGTAAGCATTTAATTCAGTTTTGTTCCTTTTATTTTGTGATATATTGTCTACAAATATGTATATGTGTGTTATGTACTTTATTCATTATTTATTGGGCTTTTTCCTTTGGTTGTTTTCTTAGTTGTTAATCATTTAAGCCTTTTTCATTTGGTTTAATAAGCTTTGGGAGGGAGAGTATTTTATGTCAAGATAGAAAATTAGTGTTTTGGGGCAAAATGTCAAAAAGAATTCCTGAACCAAGTCATGCTCTTAATTATTTTATCTTCAAGATATATGGATTTGTAAGTCAGACTAGATTAATGTTTTTTCTCTTCTAGTTTGTCATTCCTTCTGAAATGAAATCTGAATGTCATCAAGATCAACCACATGCAATTTCTATTCAGAGTTCAGAAATGATTGCTACAAATACAAGATACTGTTCAAACTGTCGACATTCTGATTTAGAAGCTTTGTTTCAAGACTTCAAAGATTGTGATTTTTTCAGTAAAACATATACCAGTTTCCCCAAATCTGGTGACAGTTTTAATCTTCTGCATCCAATCTTCCAGAGACATGCTCATGAACAAGATACCAAACTGCATGAAGTTTATAAAGGAAATGTTACTCCTAAGTTGAATAAATACACTCTTAAAACTTCTGCTGCCACGGATGTTTGGGCTGTGTACTTTTCTCAATTTTGGATAGATTATGAAGGGATGAAAAGTGGAAAAGGACGACCAATAAATTTTGTAGATTCTTTCCCTCTTTCCATCTGGATTTGTCAACCAAAAAGGTATGCATTGTCACAAAAATTGCTGCAGACTTGTAATCAAATATCTCTAAATACCTCACAAAGTGAGTCTAGTGATCTGACTGGCCGATGGAAGCGGAAAAAGCTCTTGAAGGAGTATTATAGTACAGAGTCTGATCCCTTGACAAATGGTAGTCAGAAACCTTCAGATACATTTTTAAGATTTTCCTCTTCATCATCAGATGCAGATATTCATGTCCTGGTTCACATTCATAAACATGTCAGTATGCAGATCAATCACTACCAGTATCTGCTCCTGCTTTTCCTCCATGAGTCACTTATTTTGCTTTCAGAGAATTTAAGGAAAGATGTAGAAGCTGTGACTGGCAATCCAGCTAGTCAGACATCCATTTGCATTGGAATTTTACTTAAAAGTGCGGAAGTGGCTCTTTTGCTTCATCCAGTAGATAAAGCAAATAGTCTTAAGTCTCCTGTTTCTGAAAGTGTGAGTCCAGTGGTTCCTGATTATTTGCCTACAGAAAGTGGAGAATTTTTGTCTTCAAAAAGAAAACAAGTTAATAGTGGTATAAAACAAATTAGAAGTGTAACTGTTAATCATATGTCAGACAACAGATCTATGAGTATTGACCTTAGCCATGTCCCTTTGAAGGATTCTTTGCTTTTTAAATCAGCTAGTGATACAAATCTGCAGAAAGGTATTTCTTTTGTGGATTATTTATCAGATAAAAATTTAGGGAAAATAAGCGAAGATGAAAGTAGTGGAATTGTTTGCAAAAGTGGCTCAGGAGAAATTGGATCAGAAACAAGTGGCAAAAAGGATTCGTCTTATACAGATTCAAATAGTGTCTTAAACTACAGAGAAGACTCAAGTATCCTGTCAGTTGATAATGGTGGTAATCAGAACATGCTTTCAAATAGTTTAACTAGTAAAGGAAATGAAACCATAGAGTCAATCTTTAAAGCTGAAGATTTGCTTCCAGAAACAGTTTCACTCTCTGAGAACATGGAAATCAGTAAAGAAGAAGCACCCACAGTCAGAACACTTACATCACAGTCATCTTTAAGGTAACAACTGACTGTTAGAATTTGGGGTGGGGGGTTTGTTTTATTTGTGTGTGTGTGTGTGTGTGTGCGTGCACACACGCATGTGCATGTACTTATGAGTATATTTTGGCTTTGGACAGAAAACCATGATAAATGTGGCATTGTTAGAGTTAACACATGGAAGAGTAGGGTTTTCAAAATATGAAAATACTTTAAGCTTATATAATTTTAAAAATTGTGTATACTATATAAATATATATTTATTTTGTTTGAAGTATTCTTTAGAAAGAATTCTTTTCCTTTTATGTAATGATTTTCTGATAATTTTGTTTGTTAACAGTAGAAAGCCTAAGGAACGTTGCCCACCCAACATGGCTCCACTCTCTGTTTCTTACAAGAACATGAGAAGAAGCCCCTCACAAACCTCACTGGACACCATTTCACTTGACAGCATGATATTGGAAGAACAGTTGTTAGAAAGTGATGGAAGTGATAGTCATATATTTTTGGAAAAAGGTAAAGCAATACAGTTTAAGAATTCATATTATATATACACAAATCTTAGAAGTGGTATTTAAGTTTTTTAATTTATATTCAATAATCAATCACAGCCCAAAAAGACTTATTTATTTATACACACATACATGCACAATACAAAGAGCATTGTACCTAACTTTCTAATGGTTGTTTCATTGCTTCTTTTGACCAGATACTCCTTCCTTTTTATGGACGACATCCAGCAATTATTTATATACAGTCATTTAGATCGTAAAGCAGACAACATTAATTCTACTAGCCTCTATCACAGGGACTCCTATATCTGGAATTTTGATTAGGTAGGCTTAATTTGCATGATGAATTCTCAACTATGTGGTCCTATGACTGGAATTTTTCCAGACTGGATCTGTTGATTCCCATAACCAGAATTCTCTTTCATACATGATAGTGTATGATGGAACTACATGGTTCCCCTATTTTATTCAGAAGCAACTAATGCCCTAGTACAGACCACTAGGAATGACTTAGTATTAGATGCATCCCCATCACTAAGGCATTGGGGACTTTGTGAACAGGAATAAAACCATGGACCATAGCCAGAGAATAGTTGCCACAGACCCTAAAGCATAAGAGACCAGAGGCAAATGTGAATTACTTTGTATATGAAGAGTAATAAACCTATTGATGTAGTTGAAAACAGCTTAGGTAAGGAAAGGCTCATAGCTTTAGAAACTGAAGCTTAGAGAAATGAATATACAGTCAGGAAGTAATAGAGGCAGATTTGGAACTCAGCTAGTCTGACTCAGGAACCTCAGTTTTTAACCAACCAGTATGCTATGCTAGTACCTCAGACTTGGGAAATGATTACTATATGTAAACTAAAAGCCTTAACCCAACACTTTTATAGGCAATTCATAGCAAACCCCTTTCCAGCATACTTTACCAGTTAAATGTAGACAAGTTACTGGTATGGGTCAAAAAATCTATTCTAGATTCACAGATAGCTCTATTGCCTAGTTCCCTTGCCCCCTTATGGCTTAAAATTCTACTTTAATAGAGGATTTCTGTTTTGTGATCAAATGATGCTTCAAAAACAGTTCCTCTAGAAAATATCTCTACTTACTCGTAAAAAGCATCAGTGATTTTCTTCTTATTTCTGAAAATTAAATAATTAATAAAAGTGACTACCACTCAATGTGGAGAACTTGGAAAATATAAACAACTACAGTTTGGAAAATAAAATAACCCAAAAGTCCCACAATCTAGAGCTATCGATTATAATTTATCTTATAAATGTATATATATATATATATATATATATATATGTATATGTATGTATGTATTCACATATATGTATATTTGGTATTACATCACATATATGGTTTTTCAACCTGCTTTTTATCACTTGTCTATATTAACTTGTCATAAGAATGTACCCTCACCTTTTAATTGTTTCCCTGATACTGGATGTTTAGATTGTTTATAGTTTTTTCACAGCTATAAAATGCTATAATTATATCATTGTTCATAAATTTTTGTCTTCATTTCTAATAACTTCTTAGAATAGATTCCAGCAGTAGGCTGATTTTAGGATCTTGAAAAATACAAGGGCATTCATTTTATGTGTAACACTTAGACGATATGTGACTGTACATTCATTATTCTCCTGAACTGTAATAATTTTCTGTCAAAGGAATTGATTTTCATTGGGAAAAGACTTGTTTTTTCTGAGTTCTCTTTTGTTTTGTTTTAATTTTACAAGAAATATATGAATACTTTCTCTTTAAAAAAAAATCAGATGTCATGGGGATATCTAGAATATCACTTTAATACCACCCTTACTCTGCCCTGATACCATTCCCCATTCCGGAAGTAACTACCATTGACTTTTGGTATATATTGACATAATTCCAGACCTTTTTCTGTGTGTTTTTATATACATTCATGTTTATACATATGCACACTAATGCACACATACATATACACATACACATATACATACATAGGTATATTGTGAGTACATATTTTTGAATATACATGCATATTTATAAACGAACAAATGTGTAGCTGGAGTACCACTCCACCACAGGCTTCTAACTAGTCTCCCTAATTCTCTTCTTGTCAATTTCTTGTTCATACTTCATTCCACAGGCAGAATATTCTTTTAAAAATGTATATACTATCATGTCAATTTCCATTTTAGTCCTGATAACTTCTAACAACTATAAGGCTATTAAGTTTAAAAAACTTAACATTACTGACAGTTGCTCCATGTGATATGGCCCCAGCTTACCTTTTCTGCTGTTTTCCCACGTGCTTACTACACTTTAATTATATTATAGTATATTTCAGTCTTTCTGTCAATCTCTTCACTATGACAAACTTCTTTAGCCTTTGTACCTGTGCCTAGAGTGTCCTTTTTTCTTTCTGTTTACTTTAGCTTAAATATTATTTTATCTGTGAAATCTTAACCTCTGGCAATGTTAGGAATTCCCTGTGAAATGGGAGTTTATTATCTCCTCATACCACAATTGTATTTATGCATTTTCCCTGGCCCTAAAAATCATTTTATTCATCCATTCAATAAATAATTTATTGAGCACCTACTGTTTAGTCAGGCACTGGGTTAGAACCTAATTATATAGTAGTAAATATAATAATAAAAAATTATTACAAAGAAAGACAAATACTATATGATGTCACTCATATGTGAGATATATTTTTTAAAATCCCAAATGAAAACAGAACAAAACCAGGCTTATAGATACAGAAAACAGATTGGTGGTTACCAGAGGGTAAGGGAGTAGGAGAATGGTCAGAATGGATGAAGGGGATCAATTGTATGGTTATGGATGGTAAACTAGACTTTTGGTGGTGATCACTTTGTAGTGTATACAGATATCAAATTATAATGTACATCTGAAAAGAAAGAAATTTTTAACCAGCTACCTGGAATCTGCATTCAGCAGAGTGTTCTTTCAGTGAATGGAAGTGATACTCATTTTATAATGCATGCACTGAAGTGTTATGAAGACATAACAAAGATGTTTCTAACAACAACAACAGCAACAAAGTAAAGCTTTGTAAAATACTATCGCTTAAGCAAAAGGATTTAGTGAAAGAGTAACTTGATTGCTTGTATCCTTCAGTGAATTAATCCTTGAAATCATTTTCAGAATTATTAGCCTTTTTTTAAATATAAAGTCAGAATCCATGCAAGATTGAAGTGAAAAAAAATTGAGGCTTTGTTTTGTGTCTTTGGTTCTTCTGATTTTTCTAGATTCATTTTCAATAGTTATTTTTATAGTATTTTTTTAAAGTATTGATGTGTTATGGACACAAAATTTTTTTTAAATTGCCTTTTACCACAGACAGTTTGAGAAATATTGAAATATAGCATGTTGAGAAATTAAGGCAGGTCGATAAGGATGGAGAACAATCACATTGACAATAGTAGCATTAACTTCATGTAGATGAAGGGGAATGAAAAGGGAAATGAAGTGGTCAGACTGGGACCACTGAATGTTGGGTAGAATAGAGGAGGCAAAGCTGGCTGACCAGGAACCTGCTAGTAATGCCAGCACCACACCTGCAATGGGAAGAACACAGATTGTGGTCGGCTGTGGTAGATTTCTTTTCATACTAAGTTTAGGGTTTAGTATCTCTAACGTTTTATTGTGGAAAGTTATTTCTTATTATTTGCTAACTAACCACAGTTTAATTTTTCTTTGCTTATTGTCTTTTAAACATGGTTGTGCTTGAGAAAGTGTTGAAGAAATAATCTGTTTTGGTTAGATAAATGTAACATTGTTGGACCATGTGTAAACTGATTTTAATTTAATTTAATTATTTCTGTATTATTTCAGGTATTAAAAAGAACTCAACTACAAATTACCAGAGCCCAGCAGATCGGGCAGATGCCAGTGAAAACCTACAGAATTATGGTGAAACCTCTCCAGATGCCATCAGTACCAATTCAGAGGGTGCTCAAGAAAATCATGACGACCTGGTAATCTTTTGAGACATTCTATGAAGAGAAATGCCACCAACTTTATCTCATATCCAATATGTACACATTGAAAGACATTAATATGTAAAATGAATTGACTTAGATTGTGGGTGATTTACTTTGCTCTTTCTACTCTTGAAATTTTTCCTTTCCTCTTACTGAATCATTTTTTTCTGAATTTCACTTTTCTAATTTTTTTTTTTTTGTATTGAGGAGGGAAGGTTCTATGTTTCTTTTTTCAGTTCTTTATATTTTGATCTTAGTTCAATTTAAATACACTTTGAGAAAGTTTGATAGTAAAGATGGTGGTCAGTCCTTATGAGGGGCTGTCTACAAAAGAAATGTTACTGGTTTATTTTAAGCCATCTTCACCCAGTGAAATATTCTTATGGATGACTTAGAAAATAAGTTCAGCATTGAGTGAAAATAATTTCACTCAGAAATGTCATATAATTAATCTTTGTGACTTAAAAATATTCTCTTGACTAAGTAGGAAGAAAGGAAGTGGAAGTTTATCACTGTAGTGCAATAACTGCTTTCTGTTGATCACAAATATATTTTTGGTTTATTAAGTCACAGTTGTATTTTTAGAGGTTATAGTAGTTTCCTTTGTTATTTCCTAAATTTTGTTTTAAATTATTTGGTATACTAATATTATTTATGCAATCCTTCTTAGATGTCAGTTGTGGTGTTTAAAATTATTGGTGTTAATGGAGAAATTGACATCCGAGGGGAAGATATGGAAATCTGTCTTCAAGTAGACCAAGTGACACCAGATCAGTTAGGCAATATCAGTCTACGGCATTACCTTTGTAATCGTCCAGTAGGTAAGACTTTAACGTGATTTAAACTTTTTTTAATTTAATTTTTAAAAATTAATTAATTAATTAATTTTTGGCTGAGTTGAGTCTTTGTTGCTGCGTGGGGTCTTTCTCTAGATGTGGCGAGAGGGGGCTGCTCTTCGTTGCGGTGCGCGGGCTTCTCGTTGCGGTGGCTTCTTGTTGTGGAGCACGGGCTCTAGGTATGCGGGCTTCAGTCGTTGTGGCTTGTAGGCTCAGTAGTGGAGCACGGACTTAGTTGCTCCGCGACATGTGGGATCTTCCTGGACCAGGGCTTGAACCCATGTCCCCTGCATTGGCAAGTAGATTCCTAACCACTGTGCCACCAAGAAAGCCTAAACTTGTTTTGTTTTTACCCATATGATTTATCAGCAGTTCTGTCTTTGATATAAATGCATTCACAGAAAATGACATTTATTTATAATAATGCAAGAGATTTGTTCTTTTAGATTACCATATTTCAATAAAGTACTTTAAGTTATTAGAAACATAAACTGTTGAAGAGGTACTTCCTCATTTATCTTTGTTTCTGCTGTTAAGTTCCATCTTTTACTTTTTCAGTTGTCCCATCCTTTGAGATGATAGGTCTGAGAAAACTAAAATCTTTTCTATATTAAAAGAGTGATAGGGGCTTCCCTGGCGGCGACGTGGTTGGAATTCCGCCTGCCGACGCAGGGGACACGGGTTCGTGCCCCGGTCTGGGAAGATCCCACATGCCGTGGAGTGGCTGGGCCCGTGAGCCATGGCCGCTGAGCCTGCGCGTCCGGAGCCTGTGCTCCGCAACGGGAGAGGCCACAACAGTGAGAGGCCCGCATACCGCAAAAAAAAAAAAAAAAAAAAAAAGAGTGATAAAGTAATCCTAAAAGGTCAAAGTTAGTTCCACACTAGAATGAGTGTCAATTTTTGTATTCTATTATCTTGCTTATAAGCAAACATTTTCTGAGTCTGGCATGTTACTTGATATTTGGTAAAATCACGTATCCTGTTCTTGTGGTTTTTCATTCTAAGATCAACACATTCACTTAGACATAGAGGGATATAAGCAACAAAATATACAGTGTATGACGAGGAATACCACATTAAACCAGCCCTTTCTCAAACTTTACGTGGAATTATCACTCACGGTTTTCAGTTATTTAAAGAAATGAATTTATTAAAATAGTTATACTAAGAAATTTAAATGACAATGTTCTATTAAAAAGTCACTGAGCTGGAATATTTTTCTTTGCTATATACACAGAATGCTATATCTGATATATAACATGTTGAAATACATATAGTCCTGCATGATATCAAATAAGTATGCTATCACCTCACATCCTGGGAATTGCAAGTAATTTGTCTATAAACTAGCATCATAGAAAAAAATTGGCTCCTGGCTTTTTTCTGTGTGTAGGCCTTGTAGTTTACAATGTATCTCCTAAAAAAAAAATTCAAGAATTTCATATTAGCAAGTGTAAATCCCAATAGCATACAAAATGGAGGAAGATAAGTATATAGTTGGAAAGGTTTTGTAGTCAATGAAACATCAACAAAAAAAGATTGAACATAAAATTTCCAAAGCTAGACCCTATTCTATACCCAACACAAACACTTTTTTGCACAGTTTTTTACTCCTTCTTATAGCCCACTTATTACCATGGCCCACTTATTACTTTGTTTCATGTTGTTCCTGACTGCAGAAATCATTTTGAAATGCCTTATATGTATGGGGTATACAGTCAGTGCTGTCTAATACCTTATTTTTTCACAGCTGTCTTGGTTGTTTAAAAATAAACAAAATAACAAGAAAGAAAGGAAAGGAAAGGGAAAGGGAATAAAGGGAAAAGGAGAAAAAAATAGCTTGAACATTTAAAACATTAGTAAGCCATATGAACAAAGATTGTATTTGATCTACAGTTTATATACACTGTCACTCTGACATGAACAGTTAAAATTGCAAAGTTGGGGCTTCCCTGGTGGCGCAGTGGTGGAGAGTCCGCCTGCCGATGCAGGGGACGCGGGTTTGTGCCCCGGTCTGGGAGGATCCCACATGCCGCGGAGCGGCTGGGCCCGTGAGCCATGGCCGCTGGGCCTGCGCGTCCGGAGCCTGTGTTCCGCAACGGGAGAGGCCACAGCAGTAGAGGCCCGCGTACCACAAAAAAAAGAAAAAAAATTGCAAAGTTGTTTTTGCTTTTGTTTGTTTTTCTGTAATGGGTGGACTTTGGATTCCTTTAATAGGAAGACCTTACTGTAAGTTTCATGGCATAAAAGATAATAAGCAGGAGTGATTTTTGACTAACGAGAATTTTGTTTTGTTTTACCTCTGTTCTAAATACTCTTTTTCGTTTGAAATTATTTATGGCTCTCAGCTCCCTGGAGTGAGTAGTGTGTATGTGTGTGTGTGTGTATGCTTGTGTGTAGATAGACTTATATAGATATACAGATAGATAAAAGGCAAAATAAAATCACATTTACCAAGTTGTTTGTTTTCAGTTGCTCTTAGTATTAAGTAGACAAGTTAGTTAACTCTTATTTTTCTTGGTACAGGAAAAAACACTAACCATGATCAGTTTGTGACCATTTCTTTTACCTTCTATTTAAAAAAATTAGAATATCGAGTTCTTAATTGTTAAAAGAATTCTTTGGGTGTCTTTTTTTTTTTTTTTTTGGCAGCTAAGTCCCACGTGGACCACCAGGGAATTCCCTAGGCGTATTTTTAATCTTTTCTAGTATCTATACCATTTATTTATTTTGAATTGTTAATAAATAGTGCTAACATTAATTAAATATCAATTTTTACCTGAAATAAAAGTTTTAAAAACAACTCTCCACTTTATGTTGCATGTAGAGATCTATCCGTGCTGCATAAATATAAGTATCTTTAATTTCTTGCACCTTTCTCCCCTTCATAAATATATATACATTTCACTTCTGTAAGACTAGAGTATTCACACGCATACTGAGGAAAATTAAACATCTTTCTATCATGAATTTGATAAATGAAGTCTTCTTATGAGGGCCCATGGGACAGATAACTTGGACCCTCAATAACTGAAGCAGCTTCACCTTTCCAGAACAGTTTGTTTTTAACTCACGGATTCTATGAATTGTGTGTGAAACTGATCGTATTTTTCTTTTTGCTGCTAGGAAGTTATTTTTGGTCTACCTTTGGCACAGAAATTTAAATAATGTATTTTAAGTTAATAATCTTACCACTTGTCTTTACTTTTCCATTCCCTACTTATTTTTTTTCTTTATTTTTTACATCTTTATTGGAGTATAATTGCTTTACAATGGTGTGTTAGTTTCTGCCTTATAACAAAGTGAATTAGTTATACATATACATATGTTCCCATATCTCTTCCCTCTTCCTCTCCCTCCCTCACAACTTCCCTATCCCAACCCTCTAGGTCCTCACAAAGCACCGAGCTGATCTCCCTGTACTATGTGGCTGCTTCCCTCTAGCTATCTATTTTACATTTGGTAGTGTATATATGTCCATGCCACTCTCTCAGTTTGTCACAGCTTACCCTTCCCCCTCCCCGTGTCTTCAGTTCTCCACTACGTCTGTGCCTTTATTCCTGTCTTACCCCTAGGTTCTTCATGACATTTATTTTTTTTTAAATTCCATATATATGTGTTAGCATACGGTATTTGTCTTTCTCTTTCTGACTTACTTCACTCTGTATGACAGACTCTAGGTCCATCCACCTCATTACAAATAACTCAATTTCATTTCTTTTTATGGCTCAGTAATATTCTATTGTATATATGTGCCACATCTTCTTTATCCATTCATCTGATGATGGACACATAGGTTGTTTCCATCTCCTGGCTATTGTTCATAGAGCTACAATGAACATTGTGGTACATGACTCTTTTTGAATTATGGTTTTCTCAGGGTATATGCCCAGTAGTGGGATTGCTGGGTCATATGGTACTTCTATTTGTAGTTTTTTAAGGAACCTCCGTACTGTTCTCCATAGTGGCTGTACCAATTCACATTGCCACCAGCAGTGCAAGAGTGTTCCCTTTTCTCCACACCCTCTCCAGCATTTATTGTTTCTAGATTTTTTGATGATGGCCATTCTTACTGGTGTAAGATCATATCTCATTGTAGTTTTGATTTGCATTTCTCTAATGATTAATGATGTTGAGCATTCTTTCATGTGTTTGTTGGCAGTCTGTATATCTTCTTTGGAGAAATGTCTATTTAGGTCTTCTGCCCATTTTTGGATTCGGTTGTTTGTTTTTTTGTTATTGAGCTGCATGAGCTGCTTCTTGTAAATTTTGGAGATTAATTCTTTGTCAATTGCTTCATCTGCAAATATCCTCTCCATTCTGAGGATTGTATTTTGGTCTTGTTTATGGTTTCCCTTGCTGTACAAAAGCTTTGCAGTTTCATTAGGTCCCATTTGTTTATTTTTCTTTTTATTTCCATTTCTCTATGAGGTGGGTCAAAAAGGATCTTGCTGTGATTTATGTCATAGAGTGTTCTGCCTATGTTTTCCTCCAGAAGTTTGATAGTTTCTGGCCTTACATTTAGGTCTTTAATCCATTTTGAGCTCATTTTTGTGTATGGTGTTAGGGAGTGATCTAATCTCATACTTTTAAATGTACCTGTCCAGTTTTCCCAGCACCACTTATTGAAGAGGCTGTCCTTTCTCCACGGTACATTCCTGCCTCCTTTATCAAAGATAAGGTGACTATATGTGTATATATGGGCTTTCTATCCTGTTCCATTGATCTGTATTTCTGTTTTTGTACAAGTACTGTATTGTCTTGATTACTGTAGCTTTGTAGTATAGTCTGAAGTCAGGGAGCCTGATACCTCCAGCTCCGTTTTTCGTTCTCAAGATTGCTTTGGCTATTCAGGATCTTTTGTGTTTCCATACAAATTGTGAAATTTTTTGTTCTAGTTCTTTGAAAACTGCCAGTGATAGTTTGATAGGGATTGCATTGAATCTGTAGATTGCTTTGGGTAGTAGAGTCATTTTCACAATGTT